CTGTAATCCCTTAGACAGGATGACTGCAGATTCAAGGTCAGGATGGCACTATAACAACATCTTGGTGTGTGCAGTGAGGAGGAGAGATGGGAAAATCAGAGACCTGGGCAGAGGACAGCTCTTATAGGCCCCTACAAAGTTTAAGAAAGCAAGGCCAGAGTCAGGTGATAAAGTCTTACTGAAAAAGGAGTAACTTTTGAGTGGATTCTCCATAGTGTAAGTTCATCAGAAGACAGCCCATATTGGAAATATTATTATTTTGTTGTTGTTTTATTTTTTTGAGACAGGCTTCTCTACGTAGCCTTGGCTTGTCTTGGACCTGGCTGCCTTCCAACTCAGAGATCTGCCTGCCTCTGCCTCCCCAAGTGCTAGGATTTCCGACAAGCACCGTCATGCCCACCCAGGGAAATAGCATTCTTATTGGGCCAAAAACACACAAGGAGTTAAGAGCCTCCCTCCTCCAAAAACTGGTACTTAAGGACCAAACTCTGGAAAGAGCCAGGCATGGTGTTCTCTGTCTCTAATCTCAAGTATTCAGGAGGATGAGGCTGGTTTGACATAAACCTAAATTGCTTAGTAAGACCCAATCTCAAAAACAAACAAACAAACAACAATAACAAAACAAAAAGCAAAAACCCCACAAAGACAAGCTGGGCTTGGTCACCTATCCTCAAGGTACCAATGGAGAAATTGCAATTTCTTAGGGGTCCATTGTTTGAAAAGTCTGATAGCCTAAGGAAGGGACACATATCTCTTTTTAGAATATCTTTTTCTGCCAGATGGCTATACAAAAAACAAACAACACAAACTAAAAACAACAACAAAACCAGAAACACCCCTCCATAAGCAAATTTCAAGGAAAGAAAAATCACAGAAAAGAGCTAAAATCTGTGAACGCATTCCTTGTTAAGTCACAAGCTGACTTTTAAAGGTGAAGATACAGAGCCAGGCTCCAAATGCCCCAGAAAACAGTAGCTAGGGAGCTTTCACCAGCTCTAAAGGGCTGGAGAAGTCTATTGACCTTAGGGTTTAAACCGTGCTGAGATACAGTAGTCTTGGGTAAACTTGGGCTTCAGCTGAAGCCTCAGAAAGGCAACACCCTTTCAGTAGGATAGACACTCTAGGAAGGACCTTGCCCTTGATTAAAGGGCAAAACTACAATAGATCAGCCATTATAAAGCTCAATATATTCCCCAGTGAGATCAAGGTTATCCATTCTGAAAAAGAAACATTTTGTGTGCATTATTTCGGCATGTGTTGTTGTGCTGCTGGTGGTAAGTTGGCTTGTTTTTGTGGGAATTTTGTTTTTGACAGTGTCTCACTGTGTAGCCCTGGCTGGCCTGGAACTCAATACACAGAGCAGGTTGCCCTCAAACTCAAGAGTTCCATCTGCTTCTGCGTCCCCAAGAGCTGGGATTAAAGGTGTTCCACCTCAGCCACAAGCCAGGTGGTCCTTAAGAACAATTTTAAATTGATCATTCAGCCTCCACCTCAGGATTTGGAATTACAGGCCTGAGCTACCACCACACCCAGTTGTAGTTCTTATCAGGGAATCTTAGTATCTGCTGTTTTTCCTTGACTTTATGAGAGGGAGTTAAGGGAGGTGCACATTTGCCTGGTGATAAGACATACATTGATATTATCTTAACAGTTAGGGCATCCCCTTCTTGAAAGGAAGTGGGGTCATGGCCACTGGAGTAAATCAGGTCCCAGAACTTCATTGGGTTTAGATTCTGTACCTACTTCTCTCCTGCTCATTGTAATCTTTTCCCACCTATTCTTGGGCACAAGCAATTCTTGAGACTTATTGTTAGTAGATTTTCTTTTCTTTTATCCTTTGTCTTTTCTTTTTTTTTTTTTTTTTTTTGAGATAGGGTCTCATGTAGCCCAGGCTAACCTCAAACTTAGCATGTAGTAAAGTGACCTTGAACTTTTTAATCCTCCTGCCTCCCATCTTCCAAGTATTAGAATTACAAATTGGCACTTATCATGCCTGGCCTTGAACAACAAATTTTTTTAAGAGTATATAAATGCAGATTTATTGGGGAGGATCTTGAGGGTTCACTGACCATAAGGGGAATCAGTGAACTCTAGAAAAGTGGGGGAGGGCAGAGAGAGAAAAAAATGCATGCAGAAAAGGGGAGAAGGGTGAAAGAGTAAATCAAAATGTCTGAATTACATAGTCTAACAAATAAGTTTTAAAATTATTTTATTATGTTTTTTGGTTTCTCTGTGTAGCCTTTGCTGTCCTGGACTTGCTCTGTAGACCAGGCTGGCCTCAAACTCAGAGATCCACCTGCCCCTGACTCCCAAGTGCTGGCATTAAAGACTTGAGCCACCATACCCGGCTTGAAATAACTACTTTTTTAGAGCATATTTGAAAGAAAAGACTTGAGTTGCCAGGTGATGGTGGCACAGGCCTTTAATTCCAGAGCTCAGGAGGCAGAAATAGGCAGTTCTCTGTGAGTTCAAGGTTAGTCTGGTCTACAGAGACATGACAGCCAGGGCTACACAGAAACACCTTGACTGGAAAGAAAGGGAGGGGGTGTTGGGGGGAGGATAAGACACAGGATAGACAGGGACATGCCGAGGAGGATGAGTTGAGTCACATCATCATACCATCATACCACCTCTACTAGCATAGTTCAGCAGCTGTCTTCTGAAGGAATCATTCTAGTACTGATGACATTTAAATCAGACTCTATAATACCAGGAAGAGCTTGAAGTAATGTAGCATTAGTTCTATCGTTTGTTTATTTATTATTTATGGAGACAGGTTCTTACTATATAGCCCAAGCAACCAGGATGCCCAAAGCCTACAATTATAACTTTAATTCCAAGATTATCAATTGTTAGCAACTCACAGATCTTTGCATAGACAACAAAACTTTTTAAAGACAGCACTACCATCTTGAAATCCTATTTTTCCCTCTATGTTAATCGTTTTTTATTCAAATTCAGATGTTAGTGGTGACCCACAGTGAGCCTAAGTGTCCATTACTGGACAAAGTGCTACAAGGATATCTTTGTCTGTTTTAATTTCCAGCACAGAAAAAATTCTGTGGGGCACCCACCTATACTGTCTTGGAGACAGAAGCTTAGAGAGTCAAAATGTGTAGCTCTGTCTAATCCGAAACTTATTCTGTAGGGCCTCAAAGTCATCACTGCCCTGCTAAAAATGAACTTTTATATCTAAAACATTTTAAATTTAAAAATTTGTACTTGTGTTTTGCCTGTTTTTATGTGGTACATTTGAAGGCCGGAACTGTAGTTAGATAGTTGTGGTGGATGCGAACTGAACCCAGATCCTCTGCAAGAGTAGCAGGTGCTCTTAACGTCTGGGCCTTCTCTCCAGCCCTCCCCAAGCGTTAAACTACATAGCTATCAGTAGCGTAAACATCGGGTGGAAAACCAGGGCATGCAAAATCGCCATACCATTTTCTTCGAGGAGGAGGAGGAGCACCTGGCAAACAGGGAATTTCTCTCCCATGCTGGCTTTGAATTTGAGATCCTCCTGCTCAGCGCCTCTAGAATGCTGGAATGCCTGGCTTTAATCTCATTAGGATTGCAAAAAGCATTTCTTCCTTGTAAAATAATGAGAAATCAAGTGTTTAAAAATTCTTTACCTACTAGGAATGTACTTTGTACTCCTTTAATCCCAGCACTTGGTAGACAGAGGCAGGTGGATCTTGACTTCAAGGCCAGTCTGGTCTATATCACTACATAGAGAGCTCCAGAGCAGCCTGGAATAGATATACAATAACTCTATAAAAAATGGTTAGGATTCTTGGCAACTTGGGATTTATTTCTACCCCAGAACACTTTCCTTGAAACATTTGGCTCTGTAACAGTAAGGTTACACTTATAGGTTCTGTCCTCTTAGAATCCAGTATACTCTATTTGTTGTTCAACTGGAAGACATTTCAAGCTTTTCCAGTATAACTGTAGAGCATATTTGTACCAACAGATTCCTAATGTGAAACAGAACAAACAATCTGAAGCAAGTGGCCAGAACTGTGCTGAGAAGGCAGAACCCAAGGGCCTATATTTGCTCTTGCTCATTGTTAATGCTTGTCAAAATATTGGCAAATAATTTTAAGAAAAAAAATTAGATGGGTGTGGTGATGCATGTCTTTAATTCCAGCACTTGGGAAGCAGAAGCAGGCAGATCTCTGTGGGTTCAAGGCCAGCTTGGTCTACAAAAAGTCCAAGACAGCTAGAGATGTACAGAAAAAGCCTGTTAAAAAAAAAAGAAAACTCAAAAAAAGAAACGATTTCCATCTCTCCTTCCTATCTTATAGGCTCCTCAATTTAATGTAGTAACAGAAAGCCAGCAAGCAGGCAAGTCTGAGGAGTATATCCTCACTATATAACTCAGTCTGGCCTGAAATTTGTCATCCTCCAGGCTGTTTCCTAAGTGCCAGGATTATAGGTATATGTAATATACCTGGCTGATTTAAGAGGCAAATGCAACTTCCAATTAGCAACAGCTAAAGAGAACTAGCTGGAGGATCACCAGTTTAGATAAAGTATTTTACACCGGGCACAGTGGAGGACATCTGAAATCTCTGCACTTGGGAGGTATAGGTAGAAGCAAAAAACAAGGCCAGCTTTTCCTATACAGGGAGTTAAAGTCCAGTCTCTACATGAGACTCTGACTCAAAGACAGTAAATTAAAAAAATATTTACTTGGGACTGAAGTGATGGCTCATCGGTTAAGAGCATTCAGAGGTCCTAAGTTCAATTTCCAGCAAGCACATGGTGGTTCACAACCATCTATACCAGGATCTGATGCCTTCTTCTGGCAGCCAGGTATATATACAAATATAGCACTCATTTACATAAAATAAACAAATCTTAAAAAAAAAAAAAAAAGAAATATTTACTTCAGCTCTAGGGACCACCGTTTATCTCCTAGATACTACTGGATGAGATAGAGAATCAACTAGAGCAGGATTATGACTCCTGCCTCTAGTAAACACAGGCAGAAGACACTGGGGTTGGTATTATACATGACAAATTCTTTATTTTCTTAACAGGACAACAATCATTGAAACACAGCACAGCAAGTAATTCAAAAATCCCATTGTACTATGATAAGATTTAAAAACACAAAGATCCTGCTGGTGCAAAGATTATAGCCTGGGTCTACTGATTCAGTTTCTTCCAAGTAGGAATAGGGTGAGGTTGTCTTTAGAGAATCAGTCCATCATGAATCTGCTTACAAAAACACAGATTTGGTTTTCTGAGACAGCTCAGTAGTAGAGCAAAAAACTTAACAAGCTTGAAGCCCTCCTACCCCAATACAAATTTATTGTGGAAATGCAAAAACTGGTAAGGTGCTTCTGTGATAGTAAATTCCCACCCCCACCCCCAATCAGCCTTACTTAAATGTTCTTCAAGGAAGGTCAAATCCTACCCCTCCCCAGACCAACCTGACACCCACAGCTTTTCTCTGTGGCCATCTGCTCAAGTTAGTTGAGTTCTATTTACTTTAATATCCTATCCTGCCTCTGGAGCTCCAGCCCCAGGCAGCTACTTTTAATGATCAACCTATCAAAAGAATCTGGGGGGAGGGGAAGAGAGAAGGTGGCCTTTTCCCAAGCTGTGGAAGCTGACATTTTAAAAGCCTTCTTTAAAATTTAAAACAAAACAAAACATGCATCTTTAAATAGAAGGTTTCATTAAGCACATACAGCCACAACTTGGAACCCTGGGAAAATAAATAATTTTCCCTTAACAATTCCTTATTGGTGATAAAGATCCCCAAAACTGGTCAGGAGTTTAATAGTGCCTCACCAACAATATTTGAGAAAATCAGACATGTTGCCTACACCTTGACACAAGGTGTCCTAGGGGCAGTGGCTTAGTAGAGCAGCCTAAGGCAAAGTCGACAATCGTAACCTGAGCAGACCTCTTACTGCTGGACAATTCAGGACCACCAGAATGGAAGTTTCTATGTGCTTTCCTGTCATCCACAGGTCTCTAACCACTACTACCTTCCTGAGAATAACTACTTGACTAACAACACTTTTCAGATCGGGAGACAAATCAGTGGCACTCAAAATCAAACATTTCACAGGGGGTAGCCTTTAGTTGGGAATTGTACATCTTTAAGGACTGGCTTGGGGGAGAATAAAAACCCCTGAGGATCCCAAGCTAACTAGAAAAATCTAAGCCTTTCACAATTGCTCAAATAACTGGTCCTTTTCCTTACGTCTCACAATGCAAGGCGCACAGCTTTAGCTATGGCTCTACATAGAGCTAACTCATCGGCCACCTCCATCACTAGACTTGTCAACATTCTAATAGGCATGTATACCTGGGATGTAATTATTGTTGCCATAAAGCATACCACATGGAAGTATCAGACCCTGGGGGGAGACAGCAGCCCAGGGGTATGGGTGTGATCAAGTCACTATGCATTCAAACTCAGAAATAAGTCAGATTCTACACAAGATATTAAGAGCGCTCTCTTAAGCTTACTGGAAGAATGACCTTTGATGTTCAAGAAGCAAGACAGGCCTTTCAGGTACCACTTTCAGGCCAATTAGCCTAAGATAATTTAGGTTGCTTGGGTATCACAGCTTGGTGCATACTCATATACTAAATAATAGTTGAGAGGATTGTAAGATCCTACAGAATTTAAGAATTTCCAGGAAAGATTCACAAAGGTACTTAATTTGGTACAAACAGCACACACAATCTTAAGTGACTCAAGTGACCTAGAATCACACTAATCCAATGAGCCATGATCCAAAAATTTCAGGTACAGCATGTAAACAGGTATCTTGTTCAGGGTTACTAGGTACTAAAAACATCACTTAACATTAACCAGCAGCATTCTGGAAGGTCTCAAGACCATGCTCACTCCCATTTGTAAATATGGACAATCTTCTCAGTTAAGATGGCCAAAAAGCTGTTCTGATTGGCTTCAAATGGGCAGATGTCCAAGACAGGTTGATCAGTCTTCAGGTTCTGCAGCAACAAGCCACTGCCAGCATTCCACAACTGAAAAAAATCAAGCAGAGACAGAGGTCAGCAGTTAGCCAGCCTAGGTGGGGAATAACTGTCTCTAACCTTAACACTGTACAAAACTCACACACCCTATGTAGGCTTGAAAAGCAAGAGGAGGACTCATTTCTTTTACCTATGTGCCAGAATTCTTGTAAATATTGTCCCTTCTAGAAACAGAAAAGTCAATGAGACAAAGCCACTATCTTTATCCTCACAGTATATTAAAGAAAAAAAAATTTTGTAATTATGTTTGTCTGTGTTGGGTTCCCATGGAAGAATGTGGATCTCTTTGGGCTGAAATTGTAACTGGCTGTGAGCAACCCAATCTAGGTGTTGGGAACCAAACTTGGATCCTCTGGAAGAGGACTACACCCTCCTAACTGCTCTGCTGCCACAGAACATACATCTTAGCAAGTGTCTTCTTTTCTGAAAGTTTATTACATTGTAAAGTATCAAAAATAGGGCTAGTGCCTAGCTCAGTGAGAAAAGAAACTTGCCATGCAAGCCTAATGAGTTAGATGGCCAAACCCCAGATAAAGGTAGAAGGAGAACCAAGTCTACAAAGTTGTTCTCTGACCTCTACCTGTGCAGTGTAGCATATACTCACCATTCCCAACATCATAGGCTAAAGTTTTACAAAATTGAGGTATGCCTTTAACCCCCAGCATTCAGAAGGCAGAGACAGGTAGGTCTCTTTTGAGTTTGAGGCCAGCAAGATCTATAAAGTGAGTATACAATGAGACCTTGGCTCAAAAAACATACTGAAATGGTATGATAAAACAGCACCAGACTGTCTGACTATCTGTCTATCTTTTTTTCCCTTTGAGATAGGATCTCAGTGTGGAGCCCTGTAGGGCCTGACACTCACTATGTAAACTAGGCTGGTTTATTTCATAGTCTGTCTGCCTCTGCCTCGTCTCCCAAGTGCTATGACGACAGGTATGTGCTGCCTTGCTTGGCTTTTTGCCAAGGATCTGAACTCAGGCCTTTATGCTTACCTGGCAAACAATTTATATTTTACCAAATGAGTCATCTTCCCTGCCTTCATAAGTAAACTTTGATATGTTTTAGCAATTCTGTTTTTCTCCTTTTTCTTGTGCTATCAATTCATCCTATTTAACACCTATGGTGCAATCACTATGTACCAGTGATAGTCTTTGTGTGTGTATGAGTGTATATTTATATGTGTGCCCCTGCATGAGCATTTGGAAACCACAGGAAAGTATTGGGGGGAAGGGTCTTCTGGTTTTGCTCTCTGTCTTATTACTTTAGACTGGTGTGGTGGTGGCTGTGACTGACTCCCTCATATATGCTACATGCTTTATATATGCTAGTGCCTTAAAACTGGGCTAGGCCTAGACTCTTAAACCCTAAACTATTTTTGAAAAAAAGTAAAAATGGGCTCACCAAGGCAGAGTTTGATGCTTCATCCCCAGTGCATACTAGGACATTGCCATTGTTCTCTGGGCTTTGGAAGATGGCATTTTTGGTCAACAGTTTGCAAGTAGGTCCCCCAAGGAATGTTTGCACAGGAAGGCAGGAACAGATTGGCTCTCCAGCATCATCCAGTTTGTAAGACATTTCCAATAGCACAGTTCGTATGGTATTATGACTTTTATCTGTAAGACAGAGAAATCAGTGTTACCTCGTGGATATGACACAAAAGATACCTCAGATACTTACAACCTAGCTGGACAGAAAAGCTAACACTAACAAAATTCAGAAGCCTGGGCTAGGGCAAAGGAAGCTATCTGCAATAGGTTTTTCCTACTAGAATACAGCCCTAAGAATGCATGGTTTTGTAAATCACTGTACCCTCTGAGATAGGGGAATATAACTTCCAAGTGTTTGAATGGTTATTTTTCCTTCTTCCACTGAGGACTCCATTAGCTAATTATCACAAAAACAAAGTTATATCTAAAGTACTTCTGAGAAACAGACAAAAGATGGAAAACAAAATGGGACCCCCAAGCTTTCTATGTAAGTCACAGCATGATTTGTTAAGAGCCAAAGGGCCAGAAGCAGCAACTGAAAGTTTCCCATATAAAACAAATGTGTAACGATGAGATCTACCCACAAATAGGCACTCTGATGATCAATTTGACAAACAAACTTGACAAATCTATCTCACTGTCATATATTTTATTACTAGAGTCAACACTTGGAACTGATTTTTAGTTTTGACTATCAGTGAACACAGGTGCTTCTCCAAAAGCCAGGCATGTTGAACTTATTAGTAAGTCAGTAATTCCATAAGTTAGAGGCTGAGCCTCAAGGACTGATACAAGTTTGAGGTTGGCTGGTGCCACAGATAGAGTACCAAGCCAGCCAGGAGTACACAGCAAGATTGTCTCAATAAGACAGACAGATAGACAGACAGACAGACAGATAAGATACATAGACTGAAACAGACAGACAGACAGACCCCCCCCCCATAAGTGGTTGGTTGTTTGCTGTATATTCCACTTGTTCATCTCACTAAGTTAAAATAATACATTCCAAAATTGCTGATCACAGATAAAGCACAAAGGTTTTATCAGTCATAGAAACAAGCTCCCCCATTCATGATTTCTTTTCTCTCTCTCTTCCTCTCTTTCTTTCATTTTTTCAAGACAAGGTTTCTGCTTCTCCGAGTGCTGGGATTAAAAGTGTGTACCACCACCGTCCAGCTCATATTTTCTTTATAATAGCCAATTCCCTCCTGCCCCAAGAAAGCTTAAGGGACAAAGTCGGTAGGCCATAATAAAGACAGTCCTACAAGCCTTCTTTTTTTCTTCTTCACTCACTGACTGAGCTTATGTACTCCAGATGGCTCCTTTTTTCCATGGGGCCTAGAAAGCATGGTACCTCTTTTCTCCAGGGCTTTAAGTAGTATACTTGCTTTTGTTATTTTATGAGTTTTGTTGTGCTGCCTGTGTCTCACCTGAACCTATCTTCTGATCTGGTTGGGGCTCTTTCAGACAGTAGCTGTCTACCAGTATAAACAAGGTTTCCTGAGAGAGAGACACCTATTTAAAGCTCAGAACTTTAGGTATTAAGTGCCTGCCAGGACAAAGGCATGTCTTGTGAACAGCACACCATAGCCAAGCATCACTACATATCCAGAATCTGATCAGGGCAGGACTAGAGTTCAGAACCATTCTCTTAAGACCCCAAGACCAAGCTAAAACAGCAGGCCCTCCCCAAACTGACCACAGATGGTTCCATCAGGAATACAGATTTATTCAGGTGAGAACAAAACAAACATGTAAATTTAATATTCAGCTGTGCAGAGTTCTATCCTTGGATATGGAGGCAGTGATGTCCAGCTGCCTAACCACAAAAACCGTGGTTGTCAGTCTTACTTTGTTGGACTCAAGTAAGAACAACCAAGAACTGATATAGGCTGTTTCCACCTGGACCCTTTACTTAGGTGAAGTGAGGGGCAGATGAAAGTGATCTGAAAGTGATGAAATGGCCCCACAGACTGCCTCATTCTATTACTATTTTTAGAGACACAGGATCCTGGAGTGGTTAATTCATTCCCAGAAGCACATGGCAAAAAGTTTTCAAATACAGGCTAGGGAAGCAGGCTCTATGGAGGAAATGGGAGGCATCATCTTCACTGCAATACCAAGAGTTGCAACACAGCCTGTTAGCCTTACAGAGGCTTACCAAAGCCACCTAGAATCTTTTCTTCCCACAAATCTCCCCTCACCCCCCAACACCAAAATACTAGGCCTTTAAGAACTTCTGAACTCACCAGGTCTGTAAGTCACAAGACAGTGTCGGCTACTGCTCTCTGTCTGAAAGTCTACAAAGCCCCCTGGCTCCAAGGATAACACATGAGGCTTATGAGAAAAGTCTGTTTTTAGTTCCCAGAAGGAGGCATTCTCCAAGGTTCCAGCCAGCACCCCACCATAAGGAAATGCAGCCACTGCAGCTCTGGGTAAGTATGACAGGGAAACCAGAGGACATCTGAAGACAAAAACAGGAAACCATGACATACATTCCAAATCCAACATTTTGGCTACTCCATACTTCATGACCAGGTGATCTGGTCAACAGAAGTCAAACAGAAAAGTGACTATCCTCCTGCATACTCTAAAAAACAATTAACCATCTCTATAGAAGAAATAAAAAGGAAATACGCATAATATTTATCTAGCCAGGTGAGGTAGCACATGCCTGTAATCTCAGCACTCACAGAGAGGCAGGCCTTCTCTGTGAGTGTGAGGCTAGCCTGGTCTACAGAGCAAGTCCAGGGCAGCTAAGGCTACATGGAGAAACCCTGCCTCGAAACAAACAAACAAACAAACAAACAAACAAAATCTGCATCTATCTTCAATAGGACACATCGGATGCTCCCAAACCACATTTTAACTCAGAAAAAAATGATTTTTTTTTTTTCCTTCTTCTAAACTTCCTGCTTCAGCCCCATAAATTCTGGGATTACAGATATAAGCCACCAGCACTGGATAAGACTGTCTTTTTTTGTTGTTGTTTTGAAATAAGAGTTTCTCCTTGTACCCTTGGCTTTCCTAGAAGTGGCTCTGTAGACTAGACTGGCCTTGATTCATAGAGCTATTCCTGCCTCTACCTCCCTGAGATTAAAGGTGTGTGCCACCATTGCCTACCTCCTACCCCCAAAAATATGTTGCTTTTGTTTTTCCAAGTCAGGAGTTTCTCTGTGTAGCCCTGGCTACCCTGGAGCTAGCTAGCCTCTGACTCAGAGATCAGCTTTGTCTCTGCACCAAGTGCTGGGTGGGATTAAAGTTGTGCACCACCAGCCTGGCTTTGGTTAAATTTTCTGAATTTCCTTTTGCAAGCTTATGATCAATACTATATGCTACGACACTTTTCACAACCCCCCCCCCTACAGAACATGCTCCTGTGAATTTGATTATGGAACAGTTATTAAACACTTTTATTTTAGTTTTCCAAGACAGGGTTTTTCTGTGTAGCCCTGACTTTCCTGGACCTCACTCTGTAGATCGGGCTGGCTTTGAACTCACAGAGTTCAAAATATTAGGATTAAAAGTGTGCACCACCATGCCCTGCCTCAAATTCTATTGACTATAAAGTGATTGCTGGTCAACTGTGGGTACATTCCAAGGAAAGAACTAATATAAGAATCCTGTAAACCAGGTGTGGTGGTGCATGCCTTTAATCCCAACACTTGGGATGGATGGATCCCTGAGTTTGAGGCCAGCGTGGTCTGACAGAGTGAGTTCCAGCACAGCAGAGCTACACAGAGAAACCCTGTCTTGGAAAAGAAAAAAAAAAAAAAAAAAAAAAAAAAGCTATAACCTACATAAAAATAAGTTCTTCATACCTTGCTTTCTGAGGAACTAATTCCTGTATATAGGCATTTGTGTTCCGTAGGTCATATATCAGAACTGAACCATTGGCTAGTCCAGCATAGATGTAATTGCTTTCATCAAGACACCAGCAACAGCTCCAGACAGGACGTCCAGTATTATAAGTCTGCACCACAGTATTTGTTTCTAGGCTGTGGAGTTATAAGAGATTTTTTTTTTTTTTTTTTACCACTATACATTAAGAAAATCAGGTATACAACAGTGATGATATTTAATAACAAAACATTTAACAAAATAGTATATATGAAGGACCTGTCTACAACCCAAACTATCTGGATTCAAATGTCCTCAGGGAACTGCATCGTTCTCTATTTCAGAACACCTGTGCTCTGGGATCTGCAGACTATTCTTGCACTATAATGATGTGAAGAGTAAGCTGAAGGAATACACAAATGATACATTACCCTCTCTATTTAACTACTTTCTTTGTAGTTAACTGTCAAACATACATTCAGTGAGCAATGAAATAAAGTAGAAAACAAGTAGATAACACTGGCCTTGGACTCAGTGATCCTCCTGCTTTTGCATCCCAACAGGGTCAAAGACCACCATGTCCGCTGCCTTTTTAATCATAAAGTTATTTTAATAAGTATAGGTGTTTTGACCACATGTAAGTCCATGCACTACATGAGCTCCCTTCCCGAGGAGGGTTTCAGAAAGGGAAGAGTCGTAAACTGTGTTGGGAACTAAACCCAGGTCCTTGGGAAGGACAGCCAGTGCTCCAAGCTATGAAGTCATCTCTCCAGCATGCCCCAACCATTTTAAGAAAAAATTTTATTTGTGTGTATCTATACACAGGTGCCCTAGGAGGTCAGAAGAGGGTTTCAGATCCCCTGAAACTGGTCTGCAAGCTGTCTGATGTTGAGTTCTAGGAACCTGAACTCCTATCCTTTGAAGATAAGCAAGCTCTCTTAAGCACTGAGCCATCTCTTCAGTGCCCATTCCCACCCTCATCAATAAAAAACTGCACGAGAATGCAAATGCATGCATGCCACACGGTGTGTCTAGAGTCCAAAAGACAACTTTTAGAGTGATTCTCTCTCCCAAGCATCAGATTTTTGCAGTAAGTGCATTTTTTTGAACTGAGTCCACTCTAGGATTCCTCCTGCCCCAACCTTTAAACGTACATATATGTGTGTTTTGACAAATCAAATTCATGCTAGCTTCAAACTCCTGCTTAGGTTGCCTTGAACTAACCCTCCTGACTTTGCCCCCACACTACCTCACTTGACTTTGTTGATTTTTTTGTTTGTTTTGTATTGAAATTGCCCTCCCCATTTAGTATCTATAAACACACAATACAATGTTATACTGAAAACTGGGCCAAAAATATTCTGAAACTTTCTTCATGGCTCCAAAGACTCAGAATAACATGCTTATCAGTCATGTTTTCTACCACTGAGTTACACATCCCTATCCTGTTCGTTTGTTTTGGGTTTTTTGGATAGAGGGTTTCATTGTATAGCCTTGGCTGTCTTGGAACTCACTCTGTAAACAGAGATGCTTGCCTCTGCCTTAAAGGTGTGTGCTACCACCACCCAGCTCCTTTAAAGAATTCTTAAGAGTCAAAAGGAATAGGAAGCCAGCTCCAAAAGAATCGATCACACTCAGGTCTAGTTCATATTATTAATTATCCAGGGGACAAACCTGGAATAAACAGTCCTGACCTGTCATGGTAATGGTAGAGATAGCATGATGCCTCCATATTATCATCCCAAGCTCTATAAAAACTGCTCTCATTCAAACAGTTTAATATGTACTCTTAAAATATGTAATTTTAGGCGTTGAACAGTGGTTAAGAACACTTATTATTCTTGGAGTGGATCTGGATTCAGTTTCTAGCACTCATGTGGAAACTATCAACCATCTAACTACAGTTCAGTTCCAGAGGACCTGATGCTCTCTTCTGGCCTCTGCGGGCACCACATGCAGGTGGTGCACGGTACACACAAAGGCAAAATAGCCACACGCTTATAAATAAATGAGTAAAAAAATTACATATAGAATACACAAACACACACACACATACTGGTTTCTGAGACAGAGTCTCTGTATAGCCCTGGCTGTCCTGGAGCTCGTTCTGTAGACCAGACTAGCCCCAAATGCTGGGATTAAAAGTGTTGCACCAACACTGCCCAATGAGTAAAAAAAATTTTTAATGAAATTGTAAAGAATTAGGATAGCTCAGCCTTTGACACAGACATATAAGGTATTCAAAGGGATAGACAGTTACCCTGTCAAGGCCAGCCTAGGTAAATCACTAACAGCCCCACAGTAAAAACAAACAAACAAACAAACAAACAAAACGGCATGGACAGGGCCATGGCAGAATGCTTGTCTAACATGTCCCGGACCTAGGCTAAATCTGTAGTACTATAAAAACCAACAAACAGATGCAGGTTGCTACACATTAATTTAGTGACCTGCTGTGTCACTTAATCTCAGAGGCTGAGATTACCCCCTCCCCAATTTGAGTCCACTTTTCTGTTTTTGTTTTTAGACAGGGTCTTACTCTGTAGTTCAAGCTGTCATGGAATTCATTATGTCCAGGCTAGCTCCAACACATGGTAATCCTCATGCCTCTCCGGGTCCCAAGTATTAGGATGACAGGTGTCAATCACCACACTTATATAATTACAAGTGTATATACTTTTATTTTATTTATTTCATTTATTTTGAGATCATCTCTCTACCTGGTTGTCTTAGCACTCACTATATAGACCAGGTTAGCTCTGAAGAGATCTGCCTGCCTCTGACTCTTGGATGTTGGGATTATCTTGGATGATGGGATCAAAGGTGTTCGCCCAGCTGCTTATATACTTTGAATAAACTGTAATTAATAAAAAGTAAAAAAAAATAATTTTTTTTTAAAAAAGGAGATGATGGCTCAGATCAATAAAAGAACTAAGACTAATCTGATGCACAGTGGCCCAGGTCCAATCTTCCCCTCGACTCACTTACCTGGTCAGTTTAATAGTGTTGTCAAGGGAAGCAGAGAGCAGCAAGCCTTTGGATCGACTGCTAAAAGCTAATCCACGAATCTGCTTGCTATGCATAGGAATGTACTGACTGCTTTTCATGTTGGCGGTACTCAACATCTTCACACCAAAGCCTACCAAAGAGAGTTAAAACAGGTACAAAAAAGTAAAGTATAGAGCTATCTTTTAAAGTAATTAGTACCTTTGCTTACTTTTCTTGGAATTTAAGCACCTTAAAAAACAAAAACAAAAAAACCAAAACAACAAAAAACAGCTAGTCAAATAATGAGAACAAATATTCCACAGGGTCATACTTTTGTTTGTTAGTTTTTTGTTTTTTTTTTTCTGTTTTTTTTCTTTTTAGGACACAGGGTTTCACTGTGTAGCCCTGGCTGTAGACTAGGCTTGCCTTGAACAAAAAGATCTGCCTGCTTCTGTCTTGACTGCTAGGATCAAGGGTGTGTGCCACCATGCTAAGCACCTCAAGGTTATACAAATCTATAAACAAATCTACCATACATACAAATAATGAAATCCCATCCAGCAATAAACTTAATCTATATGAAAATACAGATCTTAAAAGCACAACGAAAGCGCACGCTGTACGATGTCATTACATATAGTTGTAGAACATGAGTAGTAGAAGGGAAAAAATAGGTAAAAAAGATTACAAATTTGTACAATTTAACTTTCTGAGATATAGTTTAGTAAAGCTATCGAGACAGTTGGGCATGGTAGGCTATAAATACAATCCTAGCATTATTGCAATTTTGGGGGCAGCCTGGTTTACAGAGCAAGACCCAGTCTCAAACAGCCAAAATAAAAATAAGTTGTTTGCACAATTATCAAGCATATTTTACCTACAAAAGGGATAATTCATGATGTGCGAAGGAGATGAGCAATAAAGAACAGACACAAGGGGGCTGGAGAAACTAAGAGGTCAAGTTTTATTTATTTATATTTTTAAAAGAAATGTTTAATTTTAATTCTGATTTATGTAAAACTCACCTTTGTATCACAATTAAATTTAGTTATGAACTATAATATTAACACTGAGGTCTCAACAGAACTCTATTAAGATCCCTTAGAGGGAGCTGGATCAGTGGTTAAAAGCATCCTCTGCTTTTCCAGAGGTCCTGAGTGCAATTCCTGGCATCCACATGGTGGCTCACAGCGATCTACAGTGGGATCTCTTCTGGTGTACAGGTGTACATGGCTAGGAAGATGGACCCCAGCCAGGTCCAATCCTGGGTTTCCACGAAACGGCCTCAAGTTTTATTTTTAAGATTTATTTTATACTTACTCTTTGCCTGCATGAATGATATATGCCATGTGCATACCTGGTGTCCTCAGGGGCCAGAAAAAGGGGGGCAGATCCTCTGGAACTAGAGTTACAGGTTGTGAGCTGCCACATGGGTGGCTAGGAATTAAACCCATGTCCTCTAGAAGAACAGTTAGTGAACGTGACAGCTCCTATCCATCTCTCCAGCACTAGTTTTACTATTTGTGTGTTGTCTCTATGTGGGTATATGCACATGAATGTAGGTGCCCATCACAGCCAGAAGAGGGCATTAAAGTCCCTGGAGTTAGATCTTAAGTTATAGGTGGTTGTGAGCCACCAAACAGGGGTGCTAAGCTTTCAACTACCAAACTTCAAAAGAGCACCACTTTCCTGTCTGAAAGAACAGCAAATGCTCTTAACCACTGAGTTATCTCTTCAGTTCCCCATTAATATACATTACTAAAATTTTCTTATTTGCAACTAAATTTTTTTTTTTTAATTTGAATTAGCCTCTGGGCTGCTTCTGCAAAATACTGCAAGTAAGCCAGAAAGGTAAATGGCATATACAGGGACTATTTTCCTCCTTGGAGTACACCAGTGACAACTGGCACTTCCATGTAACTCCTTTCTCATATTAATATGGTTACTAATATTGGTAATTTGCAAAATAAAAGCTTAGACACGGAAGAATTTTTTTGAAGGGCAATGGGCTGTGCAGTGATTAGTAGCTGAAAAGACATTTTCTGCTTGCTTGAAACAGGGTCTCACCATGTAGACCACAGTGGCCTCAAACTTCTGCCTCAACCTCCTGAATGCTGGGACTACATGCTGTTGTGTGGCAACAGACCCAGCTATTAAAGATATGTGTTTGTTTTGAGACAGGGTCTCTCTGTGTAGCCCAACTTTCCTAGAACCTGTTATATAGAACAGGCTGGCCTGGCCTGGACTCCTAGAGATCAAGCTCCAACTGCCTCTCTGGTGCTGCGATTAAAGGCATGCTACCATGCCAAGCTATGAAAGCCATCTTTGTAGCACCTGAAGTACTTGCATTTAATTAATAGAGAACTGACAGAGAAAAGTGAGTTGCTAGCTTGTTACCAGTGTTTAACCATCATTGAGTTCAAGATTCTTCAAAAAGGGAAGAGAAGCACACAGTGTCTAATAATGGATATAAAAGAGGAGGTTCTCAATTGTTTACCTGGAAGGAAGGAAGCCTGAGGAGAAGACTGTGAAACCACCAGGCAGCTCAAACCATCACAATGTGCCATAATTCGGCAGCTTCCTGACTGAGATACTGTGAAGGTCTTTTGGAAGTTGTATTTATTTTGGCTCTGGCTGGAGGGTAAGCAGTTCCTGCATAGTCCTTGGGAGCCCCTGTAATGCTGTCCACCTTGACTTTGATGCTTCCTAATAAGGGCTTCCAAGTCCTACAATGAAAAAGACTTTGTAAGTGAAAGCTCTTTTTCTTTTTTCTTGGTTTTCTTTCTTTCTTCCCTCTACCCCACTCCCAACCCCAACCCAAGACAGGGTTTTTCTGTGTAACCCCAGCTGACCTGAAACCCACTCCATAGACCAGTCTTGCTTCCAACTCACAGAGATCTGTCTACCTCTGCCTCCCAAGTGCTGGGATTAAAGGTGTGTGCCACCACTGACCAGCAAGAATGATTCCTTAATCAAATAAAGGATTTCTTGCCAATCATGAAAATATAAACATGAATCTTAAAGAACTATATTTCAGAAAATTTCACCAAGTAACTGAAATACATACTGCAGAGAATTATCAAATGTTGGGGCAAAGAAGTCTTTAATGGTTGCAATGTGTCTGAAGCCCTCATAGAATTCATAAGTATGGGTACTAGGATATATGGGTACTAGGCAAATGTTTTATCAGTGAGATAAACCTAAGTAATATTTAGATTCCTTTTAAATTGCCTTTCTCTTTCATTCTGATTCTGGAAGTATTTTGAATGAAAGTACAAACGCACCTGGAGACGACTATTGAGTTTAGAGCATTTATCAACGAGGACCTGAAGTTGGAGCCGGCACTGTGCAGATTCTAACTCAGCTTGCTTCCTGAGCATTTGCTCATTCAGTAAATCACTAGAAGGGAAAAGCCAGGGGTACATGAATATGAGGAAAGCTACAGAAGACTTCCCAGCAAGTTGACACAGTAACTTTACATTGTAATATACATACTTTACTGTAAGTATGTCATGGCAGTATAATAAAGTACAAAATTATCTCTCTAGTAGCATGTAAAGCTAAACAAGCAGGCCACTGGGGTTTGGTGTTAAAAGCAAGCAATGTAAGCCAGAAATTTGATTTCTACTACAGAATGGAGACTAAAAAAGAGCATAAAAAAATGAAGAACCAATTTACTGCTTGAGCTAAGACAAATTTTAAAAGATTAAACTGAAATGATAAAACACCAAGATTATCAATTGGAGTAAAAGAAAAACTGTTATTGGTGGTGATGAAATATGCAAATTAAATAACAATCAAATTAATCAAATTAAGAGAACTAAAAAGGCTAAAGCTTAAAAAGATACGGAATTTTACACTAAGCAAACGCTAACAAAAGGCAAATTACAATAAAGTCAAAATGGATGAATAGGTATAAGAAAACAATATATAAGCATAAATTTACATGTACTTTAACTTAACTTCAAAACATAAAACACAAAAACAAGAACAAAAGTCCACTTCACTGAAATAACAAAGAAAAAAAGATACAAAAAACTAGAATGACAATTCTGCCCTTATTTATTTCACAAGAAATTAAAAAAAGAATCCCAAACTATTACAACTCAACTAGGCTTGATGGCATTAAGAAAGGGAGGTTAGCCAGAATATGGTGGCACATGTCTGTGATGCCAGTAACTAAGGAGAGGCTGGGGCAGGTGGATCATGTAAGCTCAGAAATTAAGAGTCATTCGTGGGCAGCAGAAACTAATTCAAAACAAAGATAACAAAGACACTACATAAGAGGACTGGAGATGGTTCAGCAGTTAAAAGCATTTATTACTCTTACACAGAAGGAGGGTTCAGTTCCCAGGACCACAGGGCAGCTCATACTTGTCTAGAACTCCGGTTCCAGGGGATCCGATGCCCTCTTCTATCCTTTGAGAATACCATGCACACACTGGTGCACAGATATTCATGCTGACCAAACACCCATTCCATGCACATTAAACAAATAGTTTTAAAAAAAAAAAAAAAAAAAAAAAAGGTGGGGTGGGGGGATTTCAAAGTTGTATCATTGTCCACCAGCTGGACTACATGAGACCATGCCTCAAAACAACCACAAAAACAAAACAACAATTAAAAAAACCCAAAAACAACAGGCTATGGAACAAAATCCATGAGTTAAGATATAGGTAGCAATGAAAACTTTGTGTAAAAAGAACAGTATTTTTAAAATTTAACCATTTATATATTTTTTATGTGCATTGGTGTTTTGCCTGCATGTATGTCTATGTGAGAGTATCAGATCTTAGAGTTACAGGCACTTGTGAGCTGCCATGTGGGTGCTGAGAATTGAACCTGAACTGAAGAGCAGCCAGTGCTCTTAACCCCTGAGCCACCTCTCTGGCCCAAACATAACCTTTTTTGTTGTTTTTTTTCAGACAGGGTTTCTCTGTGTAGCCTTGGCTGTCCTGGACTTGCTTTGTAGACCAGGCTGGCCTTGAACTCACAGATCTGCCAGTCTGTGACTCCTGACTGCTGGGATTATAGGCCTGCACCACTGTGCCTGGCGTATATCCTTTTTTAAAAAACTATCTCTACAGTCAGATAACTGTGTTTGTATTAAACATGTAAACATTTTTCTCTTTGCTGTGACCAAATCCCCAACAAGAAACAATCTGCAGAAAGATTTGTTCTGGCTCACAATATGCAGTAACATCAGGAGGGACGCCATGCCAACAAGTGGCTCTATTACATGACAGCTCACTTACATTTCCGTCAACGAGGAAGCAGAGAACTTGAGTAGGTTAACTCCTAAGGCCCTTCCTGCCCAGTGAATCTTTTCCTCCAGCTCTTAAAGGCTCTTAGCCTCTTAGAGGTTTCACAACTTCCCAAATGGTACTACCAGCTCTAAGTATTTAAATATTTTACTTCAAACGTTTCCAGCAAAGTGTGACTTAATGCATCTCCAACCTTCTCATGGTGGGTACCACCGCACCTGATTTTAATGTTCTTATCTCTCTCTCTCTCTCTTTTTTAGAGACAGGTTTCTCTTTATAGCCCTGGCTGTCCTGAAACTCATTCTGTAGACCAGGCTGGCCTTGAACTCAGAGATCCACCTGCCTCTACCTTATGAGCACTGGGATTAAGGCGTGCACCACCACCTCCTGGCTCTTAAATAATATTTTCAGTGGTGCTATTAGCAACTATTCAGGATCTACAATGTATTTTTTACATGTACTTTATGTGCAAACTTCACTTAACAAATCCTCTGAAAATAAAGCTATTTTAAAGGGACGAGCAAAATTTAAACTAGAACAACCAAGAAATGTGCCACACCAGATAGGGTGATGTGCACTGTAATCCTAGCACTTGGGACACTAAGACAGAGGATCATTTGGCAGTTCCAGGACAACCTGGGCTAAGAATGACTGTCTTAAAATACATACAAAACAACAAAAAAGGTTAAAATACGTTTTAAAGATTTATTTTATATATATATATATGTATGTGCTCTATCTGCATGTATGCCTGCACTCCAGAAGAAGGCACCAGATCACATTCTAGATGGTTGTGAGCCACCATGTAGTTGCTGGGAATTGAACTCAGGACCTCTGGAAGAACAGTGCTCTTAACCTCTGAGCCATCTCTCCAGCCCCCTAATTTTTTTTTCTTCTTTGTGCTTTGGTCTCATCTTTCCTAGGCTGACCTTGAACACTTTAAAAAATATATATATTTATTTTTATGCATGACTGCTTTATCTTCATGTTCACCTGCATAACAGAAGAGTGCATCAGATCACATTATAGATGGTTGTGAACCACTATTATGAGTGCTGGGGAATTTTACTCAGGACCTCTTGGAAGAACAGACAGTGCTTTAACCACTGCGCCATCTCTCTAGCCCCTGACCTTGAACTCTTGATCCTCCTGCCTTCTCCTCTCTAGCGCTAGAATTACAAATATATCACTTTACCAAGAAGCTATGGGGTTTGAATCTGGGGCTTCCTGAATACTAGGCAAGCACTCTACCAACTAAGATACATGCTTAGCTGTTTTTTGAGATGGGATTTTTCTTTAAAATTCATTTATTTTTCTTAAACATCTATGACTGTTTTGAATGAATGAATCTATGTACACCATGCCCATGTCTGGTGTCTGAAGTCAGAAGAAGGCATTGGATCACCTGGAACCAGAGTTCCAGATAGGTTCTAAGCCACCATGTGGATGCTAGAAATTTGAAGGCAAGTCTTCTCCAAAAGCAGTTAATGCTCTTAATCACTGAGCCATCCCTACAACCTGAGATGAGGATCTTTTATAAAATTTTATTTTTAAATTTATGAGTGTATGTGTGCCTGGCTGTATCTGTATCACCAGGTGCATGCAGTGCCTATGCAGGACAGATGAAAGCTTTAGATCCCCTAGAACTAAAGAGGGTTGTGAGTTGTTCAATGTGGGTGCTTAGAATGGAACCTGGGTGTTGCAGGGTATTTGATCTTATTCTGAACACCAAAATTGTGAACTATAAAACCCTGTTTCTTTGATGTGGTTTAGCCCTGGCACACACCTTTTAATTTCTGTACATGAGATTTAATAAAGTTAACCCTAGGTCAAGAGGCAGAGCAAGAAACCAACTGACAGGGATTAAAGAGTAGGAGGGACTTTGAGTTGGATATTTAAGACATTGAGGAGAAGAAAGGGCTACTAGCTCAAGCTCTCACTTTAGCTTAGGCTTCCCCTGGATTTTTGGGCTTTTGAGCTAGCAAGCCTTTTGGATTTTTTTCTATTCCAGACCTAAGCTGAGACAAAAGGTTAGCTGGTTACTTTCTCTGTCTCTCTGAGCTAGCAGGTTTTCACCCCAGCATCTGGCTCCTGAATTTTTTTTGTTTTTGTTTTTGTTTTTGTTTTTTTCAGTAAAATAGAACAGTTGAGATTTTCCTTCTTTAAAACAACACCTGGGTCCTTTGCAAGAGCAGCTAGTACTCTCAACCACAGACAGAGGTGAGGATCAGCCTATGTAATGTAGGCTGGCTCTAAACTGCTACTCAGGCAATCCTCTTTGCCTGAGTTAAAAAAAAAAAAAAAGAAAAAAGATTGAGTTCTTAGCCAGGCATGGTTGCAATACAACTTTAGTTCAATCACTTCAGAGGGAGAAGCAGGTGGATCTCTGTGAGTTCAAGGCCAGCCTGATCTACACAGGGAGTTCCAGGATAGCAAGATGTACATACTGAAAGCCTGTCTCAAAATAATAACAACAAAAAACCCCTAATCCAGGATAGGGAGGAAATGTGGAAGGGTGGGTGGGATTGGGAGGGAATGAAGAAGGGGGCTACAGCTGGGATACAAAGTAAATGAGTTGTAACTAATATAAAAAAATAAAAAAATAATTTAAAAAAGAGAAAAAAATAAACAATAACAAAACCCTAATCCAAACCAAACAGAAAAACCCAAATAAATAAAATGATGAGTCTTGCTATGGCCTGGAGATCATATTATTTGCTCGGGCTGATCTTTAATTTCTCACAATTCTGCATTAGCTTTTCAAGTGCTACAATTACAAGTATGACCAACTGTGGCAAGCCAGATCTTCATTCAAAACTCTTTTATCCCCCCAATGCTATGAGGAGACTCAAGGCCTTGCACATGTTAAGCAAGTACCCTTCCACCAAGCCACACTTTTATTATTTATTTATTCATTTATTCATAGACAGGGTCTATGTAGTCCCGACTATCCTAGAATTCTATATAGACCAGGCTGGCTTCAAACTTAGATATCTGTCTGGCACTGCCTTCTGAGGATTAAAGTTTAGCATGATCCACCAGGCCTATCATGCAGCCTAATATTCTTAATGTTATATATACAACAAACCATGCATAAGATGATTTAAATAACAGTGTCTGAGACTATAACCTCATTAATTCTCAGAGATCCCAAGTCAGAGTAAGCAAAAACCAGAGCTGTAACAGTAGACTGATGATTTCCTTATCAGATATGCTTAAAAAGAAGCAAAGAGAGCTGGGCAGGAGTTGGTGGATCTCTGTGAGCTTGAGGTGCCAGCCTGATCTACAGTTAGGAAAGGCAGAGCTACCTGTCTTGAAGGACCAAAAAAAAAAAAAAAAAAAAGGAGCAGCAGCAAAAAGACTCTAGCTAGCCAGATTGTCACCTATTCTCTCTTTCCACCATGTATATCTTGGGTATTCAATTTGCTCAATAAAGCAAATTGGAGCAAGTGCCTCTATGTTACCAGCCCTTACCCACCTTTTTATGCGTTCTTGTTCACTGGTGTCCAAAGCTCTTAGGGTTCGCGCATAAAGGACAACGATGTCACTGTGCTTGGCTTTCTTGTTGCACTAAAGAGTCCAATGAGACACAATCAGTATGGCTCTAGAAATTCTGACTTAATACAGGTCCCGTTTACAGTCCTTACCTGAGGACATTTTCGTGTTTGTCCTTTGAGCCACTTAGAAATGCATCTATACCCAAAAAGGTGCCCACAGCGTAATGCTGAGAGCCGGTGGTCCCCAGCACTGGTCCACTGTTCCAAACATATTGTGCAAGTGTCTCCTTCTTCATCATCCATAGATGGGAGATCGTTGGGCTTCTGAGGAGACTGCAAGATCAAAGTTGAAATACATTCAAGTGAGAAATTACAAAAACAGTCTTGTGTGCAAACTACCAAGTAAATTTATATCAAAATTATATAAACCTAAATGAAAAGCTGCAAGGAATCTACTAGATACATGACATTTTAAAAAAAATACAATCTGATTAAATATATATTGTATACTGTATATATTATCTACTTCCGGGGAAGGGGAGAGTGGAACCTTATACATGTTAAACACATCTTCTACCACTAAGCTACATCCCAGCAAGCAATACTCATGTTTTTGTTTTTTGTTTTGTTTTGTGGGAGGGAGGGTAGGGTTTCAAGACAGGGTTTCCTTGTATAGCTCTGGCTGACCTGGGCTCCCTCTGCAGATCAGGCTGGCCTTAATATATATATGCATACGTATATATGTGTGTATGTATGTGTGGTTTATTTTTATTTTGGATACATTGGTGATTTGCCTGCATGTCTGTCTATGGGAAGGTGTCAGAACTTGACATGCCCTTGAACTGTAGTTACAGATGATCAGGTCCTCTGGAAGTGCAGTCTATAAACGTTGCGTACCGATATAGCAGTCAGTGCTCTACCACTGACCCATCTCTCCAACCACCTATAGTTTTTATCTAGAATTGAAATCTCATTCATTAGCTTTCCTTTTTCCATATTAGCACATCTATTAGTGCCAACCTTGTTCCGGTCAAGAGGTTCCTTATATGTGCAAAAATGAACTGACCATCAACTCATATAGCCATAAAATTCAGCTCATTCCAATCAATAGAAAAATATAATGAAAAAAAAAAAAAAAAACAAAGAAAATGAAAAATCTTACTATAACACCGATCAATAAGCAATCATTTATAGTTATTAAAGGAAACTAAAGAAACTACCTTTATTTATTGGACTGGCATAAATTGATATCTGATGCTATACTAGGGATGAATGAATGTTATCCCTAGATGTCTCTGCATTTGGGAGGCTGAGGTAGGAGCATCGGTACAATCACTGAGATACTTAGTGAGCCATCCAGGACTATATAGTAAGACCCTGTCTCAAACAAATAAGTTTTTATCACACAGCAATCATTTTCTGCTTGATTATTTATAAACCTTACTTATATTTCATTTTTAAATAGTATTTAACTTTATTGGGTTATTCTCAAATATCCCTAATGTTTTAAAACATTAGAGAAAGCAGTAATATAAAAAGCAGTCATGGTCAGTACTTGGGAGGCAGAGGCAGGCAGATCTCTGAGTTTGAGGCCAGCCTGGTCTACAGAGCGAGTTTCAGAACAGCCACTGCTACACCAGGAAATTCTATGTGGGGTTGGGAAGAAGCAGTCACATGATGAGTAACTGAAATAGAAACCACATCTGGCATTCTCATCCAAAAAGTCTGCAAAGCTTTCCAATTTAACCTGCAACCTCATATAAAATGAAAATCTTAACATATTTAAAAGGATGTTTAAACTGGGTGTGGTGGCATATGCTTGCAATCCTTGCACTTAGTAGACCAAGACTGGAGATCCCGAGTTAAAAGCCAGGCTAACTTCAAGACAAATGAATGGGGGGGGGGGGATTCATAATTCATATTACCTCTTCAGGGGCTGTGTCACCTCCTGTGACAGATGTAGCTTCTTGCTCTGTTGAGATAACTCCTTGTTCTACCAAGTTGTATCCAGAAACGGCAGCACACACAATATAGAAAAGACAGGTTAGGTATGAGAAGCTAACAGGAGAGGGTCTCACTGTAGCCGTCCATCTGAATTTATGATATTCTTGAAAAAGAATGCTAATTCCACCTATTTAACATCAGTGATCTAGTATTACTATTTACTTATTTTGGATTTCCCATAAGTAGACAGAACAGGACAGTTACCCACAAGTACCCAACCCTCAATTTAAAAAGCAAATCAGGGGCTAGATAGAGATGGCTCAGGGGTTTAGAGCACTGGTTGCTTTTGCAGAAGAACCAGGTTTAAATACTAGCACACACAGGATGGCTCACAGACATCCTTAAGTTCAGTTCCAGGGAACCAGATATCTTCTTGGTTACATGTAGTATACACATGTATAGACAACACATTTATACAAATAAAATTAATCTAAGAAAAACTCACAAAATCAGTCCAGCTCACTGGCAAGCCCCTGTAATCCTAGTACTTGGGAATGCAGAGGCAGGATCTCTGTGAGTTCAAGGCCAGCCTGGTCTACAAACGGAGTTCAGGACAGCCAATGCTACAGAGGAATACTGTCTTGAAAAACCAAAAACCAACTACAAAACAAAAACTGCATTTCACTGATTTGTTTATATTTGAATACTAGACAAACCTTAAATTGTGTAAGTATACTTGTAAAACTCTTTACAATAGCACTAAGGACTTTTTCCTCATATAAATACTGTATCATTAACATACCATGAAAAATTAATAGTAATTCCTTAATATCATCTAATAATCTAGTTTATATTTAAAAAATCCTCAATAGTTTTAAAATTGATCTTTACAGCTGATTAATTCTCATTTTTTCCACTATATTTTTACAAAATTTTTAACTCATTTTCTTTTGCCTCTTTACCATCAACTTTGAGAAATTTGGCCAAGTACTTCATAAAATGTCCTACATTTTGGATTTGGCTGATTATTTACCCATGATATTGTAGCTTTTACATTAGTTTTAACAGCACATTTAGAACAACACAGCCACAACCACATTTAAGTTGAACATATTTCTAGGAGACAATTGGGGTGGCAAGCATTTCTAATGTCTACCACTTGAACCTGGAACTTGAGGCTGGCCTCATCTACAAATAAAAAAAATATTTTCATCACTTCAAGATCTAGTATATTCATTCACTGTCATTTCCATTTGGACTTGTAGCCAAACCAACCACTTCTTTCAAGATACTTTATAGAAATAAACAGAATTACAAAAATTATTTATGCTATATACTGTTATTTTTAAAACATTGAAATTTTTGTTTTACTGTTTCAAGATATCAAAGTACTCCTTACTCAAGTCTTGGTTGTTTCATTACTCATGTTCTGTTCTAATACCAGAATGGTTTCATTCTTTTTTTTTTGGTTTGTCTTTTTGTGTAAGTCAGGTCAGTCTGGGCACGGCTCATCAGAAGCCATCCATCTCATTATTTCTTTCTCTCTTTTTTGGAAATATGGTCTAACCTTGAACCTGGCCTTGAACTTGTGAGCTTCCTGCCCACCCTTTTCAGCAACTGATCACCAGCATGTGTCAACTACAACTAGCTCATTCTTTTTATGTATTAATTATTCTCTTTCATAGTGTTAAGAATCTGACTAATTTCCATGTTTTCCAGTTCTTCACCCAAGTTGTTAAGTTCTACATTTTTAGGACTTGAAAACATCATTTAGCTCCATTTTTAATTTTCTTTCTTTTTCTTTTCCCCCACCACAAAGTTTCTCTGTGTAGCCTTGGCTGTCTTGGATTCACTTTGTAGACCAGGCTGATCTTGAACTTGCAGCAATCAACATGCCTCTGCCTCCCAAGTGCTGGGATTACAGGTGTGTACCGCTCAACCTGGCTTAGATTAGTCTTTTAACTTCACCACAACCAGTGAAATCTATCTGTGCTTTGTAGATTTTAGTTGTTGTTGTTGTTTTTTATTTTGTTTTGTTTTTTTATGAATACAAATCTGGATAAAATACAGACCTGGAATGTCAGCTGCAGGTTCTTCTGCCTGCACAACCACCTCTTCATTTTCTGCAGAGGTGTCACTGTCAGAGTCCGTACTTGATGCTGGATTCCTAGTTTCTAAATCACGAGCAGTGGCTGGTACATAAGGCTGAGACCTGCTTACCTGAAAGTAGGCATGTACTGGTGTTCTCAACCTGTATGTATATAGACACACACACACACAGACACACACACACAAAAATATATAGTTAAATGGACCATCAATGCAAAAATACTCTATTATGGTGTGAAGGTAGTTCCTAGTTAGTTCAATCTATTTCCAGGCAATTAAATGCTTCCACTCAAAGTTGAGTGAAGAGTAACAAATCATAGTGCTGGGGAGATGGCTCAGCAGGTAATAGCACTTGTTTTGTTTTTACAGAAGCCCTGGATTTAATTCCCAGTGCCCACATGGCAGTTCACAACTATCTGTAACTCCAGTTTTAGGATATCTGATGCCCTCCTGGCTTTGATGAGCACCAAGCATTCGTATGGTACACATACATACTCACAGGCAAACACTTCTGTACTTAGAAACAAATATAACTGGGCTAGAGAGATGGCTCAGTGGCTAAGAGCACTTACTGGCCTTCCAGAGAACCAGGGCTCTGTTCCCTGAAACTACACAGAGGCTCATAACCATGTGTAACTGCAGTGCTAAATGATCCAATACCACTGTCTTTTTTGAGTACCTGGACTCTCATGCACATACCTATACACAGACCTCCACATAGGCACAAAAATTTAAAGTAATAAAAATAAATTCTTGCCGGCTGGTGCTCAGGCATGCCTTTAATCCCTGCCTCCACATCCAGACACACAGGGGTGCACACACTCCATACCTATTTGAAAACATTATAATTAAATAAACAATTAAAGGGGCCAATCCTCAATAGATACTGTTGCTGACAAACTTGCCTTTAGTTTTCAAAGCACATCAATGATGCCCATCTCAATACTAAATAAAGTAAACAAGGCAAGCACTAATTTTATTTGACCTACCAGGAAGTAGGGATTCTGAAATGTTAACTTTGGTAGCCACAGCAGGTGTGACCAGAATCTGAGTTTCATAATTCAGAGTGGCATCAATCATGTAACTTATATTTTACCTGGCACTGTCTACCCTCTGAGATGCTCCAGCTCTTGTTCTCAGAATGGATCCTGTTCTTCTCCTTGTTCTCACTGGCCCCACACTGTGGTCTGAAGGTGGAGGTCTCAGCCATTCCAGCATGCCATGCAGTCTCTGCAGCCCACTGATGAAGTTGCTCATTGAAACTTCAGCCTGGACAGTCTGGTTAGCACCAGGTCCCTGGCTCTCCACCTCTGACGTTCCAGGATCTACAATCTCCATATTTTCTTCCGCTGTGTCAATGGATGCTGATGGCCCAGGCTGGAGGGGGGCCAGTCCACCCTGGCTGCTGAGCACTTCGGCAGGTGCAGGCTGAGCAAGTGCTCCTCCTTGGCTATTGGCCACTTCAGGAGGGGCGGGCTGGAGGAGAGGTGCCCCTTGGCTGGTAACTTCAGTTGGAGTAGCCTGCTGTATAATATCATCCAAAGGTACTTGAAGATCACAGTCCATTGCTTCATGAGCCATCAACTGGTATTTGTAAAACATATTAATAAGAGATTAAAAATGTTTTGTAGTTGATACAAGTCTTTCAGATATTAAGATTCGTTTTAGCAAAACGAGGATTAAAAAAAAAATCTTAAGGCTGGAGAGATAGCTCAGTGGTTAAGAGCTCTGTCTGTTCTTCCAGCGGTCCTGAGTTCAATTCCCAGCAACCACATGGTGGCTATCTATACCCTCTACTGCCCTTTTCTGCACCTGTCGATAGAACACTCAATAAATAAAAAAAATCTAAAAACAAAACAAAACAAAAAACCTTAAAAAGTCAATGAAGTAAGAAATGTTTTGGCAACCAACTCTGAAGCCTGGAGGATCACCACGATTTCAAGTCCAGCCTGGGCTATATAGTAAGTTATGGGCAAGCCTGGGCTAAAGAGTAAGACTCTATATTCAAAATCAAGCCAAACTATTTACAACCATTTTCCTATAATCACAGTATGCCCCAAAATAATAATGAGGAAGCTTAACTATTGGATCCAAAAGTAATCTAGGAACACTGCAATTTTCTCTTTACTTGCATACAGACATTTACCAAAGCAAATATAACACTGTACGTAACAGGCAACATTAATCTTTCATAGCATCAAAAGTAACAAAGAATACACAGAAATGCATCTATTTTGCATATGTAGTGCTGGGGGACTGAATACAGGATCTTGTACCCCCCAAGCCTACCATATGGCTCTACCACCCAGCTCCAGCGACCCATCTACTCTCAGCCAATACATAGAAGACTTCTCAACACAAGTTTTTGTTAGTTTGGTTGGTTGGTTTTTCAAGACAAGGTTTCTCTGTATAGCCTTGGCTGTCTTGGAATTTGTTTTGTAGACCAAACTAGCCTCGAACTCACAGAGTGTGCCTCTGCTTCCCAAACAAGGAGGCATTTTTTCATGGGGCTAGAGAGATGGCTCAGTGGTTAAGAGCACTGATCGCTTTTCCAAAGGACCAGGGTTCAATTTCCAGCACCCACATGACAGCTCATAGCTGTCTTTAACTCCAAGAGCTAACACCCTCACTACAGACATATATGTAGGCTAAACACTAGTGCACATAATAGAAAATATTTTTAAAAGGCATTTTTACATTTGCAAGATGAAAGTTAAATTTGAGAAAAACTGAAATTGAGACTGGGGGTTGCAGCTTAGTATTAAGCCTGGTATACACAAGGCATTTGGATTAATTCCAGCACATATGCAATTGCAGCGAAGCCAAGATTGCTGGGCTTGGTGACATACTATAAATCCTAGCACCTAGATGGTGAAGGCAGAGGGAAGAGAATAGTGAACTGGGCTAGCCTGAACTACAAAGCAGTTTTCCAAACAGCCTGAGCTATTTAGCAAGACTTTAATTTAAAAATAAAGTCCAAGATTCATTAGATCTAAGTAATAGATTTTTTCTTCTTATACTAATTTTCATCATGGTTCTATATTTTAAAATGAAACTTCCTCCCACGGCATGTCTAGAGAGCAACCAGTTCTGATTTCAACTGGAATGTAACAGCATTGAATTCCATACAAAAATGACTTTAATAATTGGTGCTAAATAATACTGACTGTATCCTCTATCTCTCAAAAACACAAGGGAAAAAAAAGTCCAAACTATAAGCCAAAACGACAACTAAGAACATGCCAGGAGCGATACACTATTAAAACTCTAGTAGACGTCTATAAAAGAACTTCTCAATTTTAAATTTTTATGCAAAATGGGAGATATGCTTTTTAAAAAAAAGAAATAAGTTCTTCACTACTCAAAACATGTAAACTAAAGCTTTTAATGTGGTTCTAAGGTTTAACGACATCCTCCTAAGAATTATCTTAAAACAAAAGCACCTCCTGTTGCATAGTATCTGTAATTCCATCATTAGAGAGTCAGAGACAGGAGGACTGCCTCAAATTTGAGGGCAGCCTGGGCTCCAGGGGGGGACTGTCACCAACAAGCTCCGCCTAAATTACTTCTAGATGCCCTCTGCAGCACTTCTTACAAAGTTCTTCAAACTTCTTTCTAGTTTACAATTAAGTTAGTTCCTCCATCACACCAGTAGAAAACAATAAACACTCGGCCTTCCCCAAGTCCTGTGCACGAATCCAGGAGTCCGTCTAGAGCGAACCTAAACGCCAGCGGCCCTCGAGACGTGAACCTCACCTCTGCCATCTTACCGAGCTTTGCAACGCCCCCCACTCCCCCACGCCCCCAATCAGCAAGGACGCCGGGAGGCCGTGTGGATTCAGCCTGAGCTGGGTTCGAAGCGAGCTTCTCCCGGTTAGGAAGCTTCCTCACCTGCCTGTCCGAGCCCGTCCACCCGCAGCGAGGAGACCCGGAGAACGCTAACGTCACAGTCGGGCTGCAGCGGCGGTGGCAGAGGTGAAGTTCTCCTCAGCCGCGGGTGACAGGGAGCTCCGCGGGCGCGGCAAGTCCCCGGAGACCCACCCCGCACGGGGCCCGCAACCGACGCAAGCCGAACCCCGCTCCGGCTCCCCCCGCACTCCTCGGGACGGGAGGAAGGAGACCCGGAGGCTCGAGGCGCCCGGGTCCCGGCCCGCCCTCGGCCAACCTCACCAGGCCCCCGCGACCAGGCCCGAGCCGCAGCCCGAGGCCCGAGGAGGGGCAGGCGCTCGCCTCACCTCTGTAGGGACACGCTCGGACGCCCCGACCGCGACTCCGACTCGTGCCGCCATCGTTACCGCGCAGGACCCAGCCTCGCGCGCGCGCCGGCGCCAAACAACTCCTGGGTTACCTCAGGGACCCCTCCCCCCTCCCGCCGTGTGGCGCGGTTCGGCGAGCTCCTATTGGTCAGCCTCCACCGGCGGCGGCCAATAGCCGCTCTCCTTCTTCCGTTGGTCGCCGCCGCCTGAAATAGCGGCGCTCTCATTGGCCGGCCCGTGAGCCTTCCTGAGCGAGCGCCTCCGGCGAAGGAGCCTCATACCATTGGCGGAAATCCGCGTCCGTCACCTCGCGCCCACCCCCTGATGGTTAGCGCTCTGTTTGAACTGTCTAGCCGGAAGACCCGAGGAAGAGAGTTCTCGGTCCGCCTCGCCAGCGAAAGTGAAACTGTTAAAAGTGCTTCCCCCAAGCCCCGCGGTGGCTCACGCCTGGGATCCCAGCACTCTCGGGAGGCAGAGGCAGGCGGGTCTCTGTGACTGTTGACCAGGACAGCCAAGGCTACACAGAGAAACCCTGTCTCGAAAAAAAAAAACAACAATAAAAACAACAACAACAAAAAAAGTGCTTCTCCCTAAGGCTCTGTTAAAGAATAGTTTATCAATGACTTTAAAATAACTGTTAACAGAAACCTGGAGCCTGTGAGAGCCGAGAGTTCAAATATATGCTCTTACAGGGTTGAGCAGCTCGTCTTCAAAAAAAGAAAGAAAATGGAAAACCAGAAGACAAAGCTTGAAGTACTCATAGCAGCTAGAAACGAAGTGTGTGGGGAAACTGGGATGAGACGAAAAATTTAGCAGAGGTGTTGGCTGCTTAAGCTGCAGGAAAAGGCTTCCCTACAATGGACTCCCTTTATAAATTTTGTAAACTTTTTATGCTTTTATAAACTTTGTAAACCTTCAAGGCAAAAAACCTCAAGCTCAGGACTTGAAATCTAACCAATCCTTTTGCTGGAAACCGCTGCCCTGAAGAGCTCCACCCCCTAAGAAACCCTATATAAGCCTTTGTCTACCCAGTTACCTGCTCTGTCTTCTCTCCTGAGCACAGGCGGCCACCCCTGGAATCACCGCTCCCAATAAATCTCCTCTTCCACCTCTCCCTCTCCTCCCAATAAATCTTCTCTTCCACCTCCCCCCCCCCCCCCCCCCTTTTTTTTTTCAAGACAGGATTTCTGTGTGTAACAGTTCTGGCTAGCCTGGTCTCAACCAGGCTGGCCTTGAACTCTCAGGGAATAGCCTGCTTCTGCCTCCTGAGTGCTGGGATTAAAGTCATGGGCCACCATCACCCACTCCAATAAATCTTTTATTAGATTTGCTTCCTGGTGTGACTCTCTCATCAGAAGAAGCCAAGAAGGAGTGAAGCAAAAAAAAAAAAAAAAAAAAGCACCTCAGCTCACCTGGGGATATCCTCCCCTGGGAGCTGCAATGCCTCTGCTGAGGAGGCTTCCTCTCAGAGCTGTGTGGTTCCTGGGCTCTCAAGTCCCAGGACACCTTTCCATCTGAGCAGGAAGGCCAACAGGAGGAGCCAGAGAAGGCACTCTTTAGACCTACAGACAATCTACCCAGATTTTTAACTTCTGAATTGGACAACAGGCGTCCAGTAGGTGAACTTGTTTCAAATGTTGGTAAACACAGGAGAGAAAAGAGGCAAGCTGGATGTGCAGTACACACCTGTCATTCCAGCACTTGGGAGGTAGAGGCAGGAGGATTAGAAGTTGAAGATATCCTAGCCAGCCTTAGAATCATGAGAACCAGTGTATGTACATACATGTATGTGTACATACGTGTGTGTGTGTGTGTGTGTGTGTGTGTGAAGAGAGAGAGACAGAATTAGATACAGGCTATTGGAAGACATCCTCTACAAAAATGAGAAGTCCTAGAAATTAAGGTATCTTTTACAGTAAATCCATCTCTGCCTAAGGATCTTTTAGAGTTTGCATAATTCAATTCATCTACAGGGAGGAATTTTCACTGTGATCCTATAGTAAAGTGAACAAAATATTTTAAAATCATGAACCATTCCAAACCCCTATCAGCTCTAGAAATTAACCATTAAAAAAAAAATTTACAGCCAAGCAGCCTATCTTTAATCCTTGTGCTGGGGAGGCAGAGGCAGGTGGATCTTTCTGAGTTCAAGGTCAGCCTGCCTGGTCTACAGAGTTAGTTCCAGGACAGCCACGCCTACAGAGATAAATCTTGTCTTGGAAAAAAAAAATTAGGTTTATTTTATGTATATGAGTATTTTGCACCACAGTGTTATAGATGGCTGTGAGCCACCATGTGGGTCCTGGGACTTGAACCCCAGTCCTCTGCAAGGATAGTAAGTGTTCCTAACCACTGAGATATTTCTCTAGTCTCAGAAACCAATCATCTAAACGTACAAACTGTGGTAGTATGAATAAGAACGGCCCCCAAAGGGAATCCCGAGACACAGTAAACACACAGCTCTATATTTGAATGCTCAGTCACCAGGGAGTGGCCCTATTTAAAAAGATTAGGAGGGTTAGGAGGTATGGCCTTGTTGAAGGAAATACCTCACTGCATGTGTATGTGGACTTTAAGGTTTTAAAAGCTCATGCCACGCCCTGCGTCTCTCTCTTAGCCTATGCATCAGGATATAGCTACTGCTCTAGCACCATGCCTTCCTGCCTTGCTCTCTGCCATGATGATACTGGACTAAAACCATAAGCAAGCACTCAACTAAATGCTTCCTTTGTAAGAGTTGCCTTCGTCATGGTCTTTTCCTTTTTCTTTCTTTTCTTTTTTTTCCTTTTGGTTTTTCTAGACAGGGTTTATCTGTGGGTAGCTTTGACTGCCCTGGAACTCATTCTGTAGACTAGGCTGGCCTTGAACTCACACAGAGATCTGCCTGCCTCTGCCTCCCAAGTGCTAGGACTAAAAGCTAGGACTAAAAGCCACCACTGCCTGGATTCATGGTGTCTCTTTGTATCAGTAGAACAAGTGACGAGGACAGAAGCTGGTACCAGGGAGGCAGAGTATTTCTGTAACAGGCCTTACCATGCTGTCTGTTAGAGGAATACGGAAAACTTTGGGACTTTGCATTAGGAAAGCAATTTAAAGCCTTAAACATGGCTTAGTAGGCCATACTGGTAGGAGCACGGAAGAGAGTGGTGCTGAGAGTGATGTAGACTATGACAGCCTGGCTTGAGAGTTTTCAGAGGGGAAGAATACTGGTAAGTGGCCTGGGGATGAGGCTCATGATATTTTAGCAGAGAATGTGACTGCTTTTTGCCCTTGCCTGAAAATTCTTTTCTGAGGCTAAATTGAAGAGTTTGGTATTTGGCCTTGGTAGAAGAAATCAAGGTAGCCTAGTATTGATTGTGTATGTGGTCATTAGTACTCACTCTTATGCATATATATATATATATATATATATATATATATATATATATATATATATGCAACTAGACAATCTGGACAAAGAGAAAGATGAAATGTGCAGTTTGAGGAGAAAAGGAGCACCAGGAAGTGTAATGGAGCTAAATCCTATGCTCAAGGCGATAAAAAGTTTAAAGAAAAGCCTGATGCTAAATGGAATAAATAAAGTGGTGACCTCAGGGCAAGACTCCACTCAGCTAAGCTTCCAGCTTGTGAAAAGGAATTAAAGAAGAACTTAAGCAGTGAAGGAAACCATCAATAGAAAGCTGTTGTAAATGTAACTGAAGGAAAGGGTCAAGTTCCAGCCCCGTCAAGCAGCAGAACTTGGCAGCTCTGTCCACGTGGTTCTGGCTTCAGGGTCAAGGATACAAGAAAGGGGTTGTGGTATCTCCCCTGTGGCTAAGGAAAGTAAGGAAAACTGTTGAGGCCAGTTGTGTACCTGGGGTACCCCTGCCCTGAGGCCCAGAGAGGCCATTGCATGACGCTATGAAAGTGAAGCCTGGATTGCCTTGGAGACCTCAAGATGTTGGAGATGCGAGAGCCGTGGGATACCTGCCAAGCAGAGCTGCAGACCAGGTGTGGACCAGCCCAAGAGAGAAAAGTGTGTTGCAGTCAACAAAGATGAAAGGAGTTGGAGATCTGAAGGGAGCTTTGATGTCAGACATACTGAATTTGGAGTTTGCCCAGCTAGTTTTAGGTCTTGCTTTGGTCCAGTATTTCCTCATTATGTTCCTTTCCCTCCCTTTTGGAATGGTAATGTATTTTCTGTGTTGGAAGTATATGATCTGCTTTTTTAAATTTTGGTTTTACAGGGGGTTAGAGTTAAGAGATTGCCATGAGTCTCAGAAGAGGCTTTGAACTTATGACTGTTTGTTCGTTTTTCAAGACAGGTTTTCTCAGTGTAGCCTTGGCTGTCCTGGAACTCACTCTTATAGACCAGGCTGGCCTAGAATTCACAGAGATCTGTCTGCCTCTACTTCCTGAGTGCTGGGATTAAAGGCCTGTGCCACCACTACCTGGCTGAACTTCTGACTTTTTATTAAACAGTGTGAAAGATCCCCGGAGGGTATCTTCCGTCTGAGAGACCCCTGCCCAAGGATCAACGAGCCCAGGCGTTCGGATGCAAACAGCAAGAGGCTTTTATTTTGATACACAGGTACCCGGGGCGAAAAGTCATTCGGGAGACTTCCGTGCCCCCCAGGTAGGAAGCTGGGGTTTTTATAGGGTTTTAGAGCAGAAGCACTGGTACAGAAGCGAGAGGCATGGTTACAGGGGGCTGATTGGTACGTTTACACGAGACCACAATTTGCGTCAAAGTTTGGCAGGGGCACCAAGATTTCAGGAACTGGGTGGTCAAGGGGGTTATGATGACCCCTTGACGTGGCCCGCCACCTGTTATTTTGTTTTTCTCTATCTTAACTGAAACAGTCTCACAGATATCTATGAGGGTGATTAACACAAACTGTTTTTAGTATGACTGGGGCAGCCTGACCACAGATATCCCAAGTGGGTGACACAGCTAGGATTTTTCAGTAATTTTCCAGTTCCCCACCTAGCCTATAGAGTTTTACAAAACAGTGGTGTCTCACAAAATGGCGTTAGCTATGTTTAACTTAGGGTGAGGCTGGGGTCTTTCAAGTGTTGAAACTGTGAAAAGCTATGGAAACTTTTGAAGTTGGACTAGATGCATTTTGCATGATGAGATGGCTACAAGCCTATGGGGGCCACGAAGTGGAATGTGGTGGTGGTTTGATTAAGAAAGACCCGCACAGCCAGGTGTTGTGGCAAAAACCTTTAATCTCAGCACTCAGGGAGGCAGAGGCAGGCAGATCTCTGTGAGTTCAAGGCCAGTCTAGTCTACAAAGTGGGTGTCCAGGACAGCCGAGGCTACACAGAGAAACTTTCTGTCTCAGAAAGAAACAAACAACTAACAAAAAAGGAATGCCTCCCACGGGTTCATATATTTGAATGCTTAGTTACCAGGGAGTGGCCCTATCTGAAAGGATTAGAAGGAGTAGAAGCAGTAGTTTTGTTGGAGAAAGTGTGTCACTGGAAATGAGCTCTAAGGGTCTCTCTCTCCCCACAGATCAGGAGGTGGCTCTCAGCTATCGCTCCAGGACCATGCCTGCCTGCTGCTATACGCCCTTCCACGACGACGATGAGCTAACCTCTGAAAGTATAAGCAAGCCTTCAATTAAATGTTGCCTTGCTCCTGATGTCTCATCACAGCAACAGAACAGTGACTAAGACAACAACCCACAGTGTAAACTCTTCTGCATTGTTTACGTACAGAAAAAAAGACCCAAGTGTGCTCTGGGTTGTATTATTTATGGTAAGTTCTGGGGAATGAAAGCAGCATGAAGAGGCAACAGAGCTGAGGGAAAACTCAGATGTAACTTTCCCCTGTTTATACTTCACTGTACAGTGGGTAAATGACAGCCAAGTAATCTGTTTGTTTGTTTGTTTGCTTGTTTGTTTGTTTGTTTGAGAGAGACAGGGTTTTTCTGTGTAATAGCCCTGGTTGTCCTGGACTTTTTTTTTTTTAAGACAGGGTGTCTTTGTGTAGCCTGCCTCTGCCTCCTGAGTGCTAGGATTAAAGGCATGTGCCACCACACCTGGCTGAGTAATCTATTTTTAGTTTCTCAAGAGCTCTGCTGTAGATAACACTCCTGACCTGTTGGGTTATGATAACAGCTTTTGAGGTTACTTCTCAGGGACCTGAAGATAGCTTTTGATCAAAGCATTGACTGACTCTTAAGCCTTCAGATGTCAGAAGGGAGCTTCAGACATGTTAACTAAGTTTGGCAACTCTGCCATCATAGTGTATCCTGTTTTACTTGCTACCTTAACCTTCAGGTCAGATGTCTGCTCAGTTCTGCACTGTAGAGATGGACAGCATCTGAAAAGTGTTCTGGAATTATACTACAAGATGATTTTATGTAAACTTATCTGACCTCCTCCTCTTCGAGGATAAAGATAAAAGCAACTAAACAACAGCCAGTACCATCAAGCGGTACCTAGAACCCTCTAATTGTCAAGTTTTTTTTCCTGCTCAGCACTCCTCTGCTCCTCCTTTCCCTCCATAGAAAGCCTTTTCACACACTCCAGTCCCCTGAGAATACCTTTATTGGAGAGAGCCTCCCACTGTCTTTCGTTTGCTAGATTTCCAAATAACCCCTTTTTTCCTTGCAACCATAAACGTGTTCTCAGGTCACTGGCCTTTTCCAGTGGCAAGAAAATTAACTTTAGGTCAATATAAAATCACCAATTTGTTTGGTTCGTTTTTTTTGAGACATGGTCTCATGTAGCCCAGGATGACTTCAAATTCACTACGTAGCTGAAAATGACTGAACCTTGAATCTCTCTGCCTCTACTTAATACCTACTAAGTGGCTTCTTGAGTGTCAAACAGAGGGCTTTGTACAAGCACTCTTCCAGCTGAACACCACTGGTGCCTAGATCACAACCGTTTGGAGATGTGTGGGACCTGATGCAGAAAGTCAGGCACGCCGGGCCAGGGGCATCCAAATGGCAAGTTTTGTACTTAGTTCAGTGGGGGAGGGGAAGGGCTGTGCAGCATTTATTATCACTACTGCTATGTAGCAAACACCCCAAAACACAGCGGCTTAAGACAGGAATATATTTATTGAGCTCATGTTTTTGTGACTCGGTAGTGGGGTGGGCTCAGCCGGGTAGTTCTTTAGTCTTAACTGGGCTCACTCATGCAATTGGATCAATTGCCAGGCTCGCTGGCCTAGCATGAACTCAGATGGAACCTTTTGCCTCTGTTCCGTGTAGATCCTCATCTTCCAACATGCCTACCGACCTTGCTCATGGAAGGGCACTGCTTTAAGAAGGGGATTAAACATTTTAAAGGCTTTTGGAGCCTAGGCTTGGCGGTGGTCCACTGTTACTTCTTCCACATAATCAAGCCATCATTGCCAGCTCAGACTCCAATGCTGGAGAAACAGAAACCATTTCTTGATAGGAGCTGTCAAATCACAAAAAGAGATGTGGACACAAAACCATTTGCCAAGTTTTGCAAATAATCTGCAGTTAGTGTTAAAAATATATTTTACATTTCCTGGGAGTTCTTCATGGTTGGCGTTGGGTCTTTTTGTTGTTGTTTTGGAGACAAGTCTCATTATGTAGTCCTTGATGTCCTGGAATTTGCTATATAGATCAGGCTGGCCTCAGAGATCTGCCTGCCTCTATTGTGGCTATAAACACAGTTTTGTTTTAATCCCAGGTGTGGAATGTGGGACTGATTCAGATGGTCCACAGCAGCAGACTATTTGCCTCTTCACCAGCTACAGATAGTTTATATCTGAGGATTCTGGAGAGAGAATAAATGCCAGAGTCCAGAGAATATTGAGGCACCAAGAAAGAACAAGGCTGCTCCTACTTCCTCCTTGCTGCTCCTGGGTGCTTTTGCAAGACAAAAGTTGGAGATCTCTGAAATGAGGATTGGACTGGCTCGAAGGAACCTGATGACCCTGACCAGCAGGAAGCAGCTAAGAAAACAGCACCCCCTCTCCCCCTAACCCTTTCTCTCTCCTACCTGATGTTGGGGTAGGAGTAGGGAGAAAGAGATAGTAATAGTGTAAATAAAAAGAGTTTTTTTAAAAAAGCACACCAGCATGCCTGTGCTTTCCAAATGCTGAGATTAAAGGCATGTACCACCATACTGGACTGGAATTGTTCACTTTTTAAAATATCTTTTACTGCATAATTTGTTTTTATTTTATGCACATTTGGTGTTTTGCCCACATGTGTATGAAGGTGTTGGACCCCCTGGAACAGAAATTACAGATAGTTGTGAGCTGCCATGTTGCTGATAGGAATTGAACCTGGGTCCTCTGGAAGAGCAGCCAGTGTTCTTAACCAATAAGCCATCTATCCATCCCCAATGAAATTGTTTTCTATCTGTAATAAATAAGAACTTTGCCAGGTGTGGTGGGCTAGTCCCTTAATCCCAGCATTTGGAAGGCAAAACTGGGAAATTGCTTTAAGTTTGAGCCCTATTTTATTTGCATAGCAAGTCTATTCTACATAGCAAGTTCCAGGCTAGCAGGAGCTACATGAAGAGAACCCATCTTAAAAAAAGAAAGAAAGAAAAGAAAAAAAATTTGCACCCAGCAATAACTTGATGTTAACAGATATGAAAGACAGACACCCAGTTTGCCCCTCTTCCAGCTTCTTGTCCCAGGAGTTTTTGGTTTAGGTTTGCATATACAACTCAGTTAAATGCAGCAAGTCTCTCCAAGATTCCTATGAATAAATGAACAGAAAGTGAGACAAGGGCATGTTACTGACAGCTAAGCTAGAAACACAAAGGCATGTCTATAGGAGACAATATGCAGAAACAGTGTTTGCCTGGTCTGGCTGGTCCCTAACCCATCTGCACACATATCATCTTTGAAAACCCAAATCCCAAAGAGGCATGGCAGTGCCTCGCACACTTGGACTCCTAACTCTGAGGGGATCAAAGACAAAAGTATCACTGGGGCTTGCTGGATGCCAGTCTAGCTGAGAAAAAGAAGCCTCAAGGTTCAAGAACAGACCCTGCCTCAAAAGAACAGGCATAGGACCTGGCTCTCCAGGTCATTCTTCGGTGACAGGGTCCTGAGAGGGAGGACCAGGAGACCAGACAATAAAGAGAATAAAAGCTAGAGAAGGTAGGAAAGTTTGGGGATAGGAGATCTTGCATAATCTATCCTTGTGCCAAGTAAGCTTATAATGCAGTACAGCACCTTATATACTATTTCCAGGGGAGACATGGGAGGGAGTCAGCAGAAACTGTCATACAACGGGACAAAGTCAACAGGAAGCTAGTCAAACAACATTGCTCAACGGGAGCACTGTATCTCAAGAACATTACAGAACAAGCACACGGCAGCTTGGAACTGATAACCAAAGCCCAGTGCAGTGGGAGGAGTTAGGGTCTCAGTATCTTAAATGTCAGCTCCTGCCAAGTCCCGGGCCACTCGTCATTACCCACTTTATCAAGCACATTCCTGGTTTTAGAGAAGAAATTGTGGGATCAGGAAAAGACTTGAATCAGCCCAGCACGCAACAAAGGTAGAAAAACAGACTATTGATGCCCTCTTATGGGCATCACACACACACACACACACACACACAAACAAGCACGTAAATAAACTAGGTGTGGTGATGTACACCTTTGATTCCAGCATCTGAAAGGCAGAGGGAAGTGGATTTCTATGAATTCAAGTCCAAGAACAGCCTAGTCAACATAGTGAGTTCCAGACCAGCAGGACTGCATAGTAAAACCCTATCTCAAACAACAACAACAACAAAACATTAAAAAAGTCTAAATCAAGGAAATAATCCCAATAAAAAGAAAAGAAGGAACGAGGGAAGGGAGGTAAGAAAGACAGAGAGGAACAGATAAAGAGACGGGAGGAAAGAAAAGAAATAGGCTGGAGAAAAGTAACCTGTTCCCATCCTCTGAACCCCCCCTCCCCCCGCCTTGCTGACATCTAGGGTCCATCATTCTTCACTGGGAGGGATACCACATAAATTTGAGGGCTCTACATTAAACTTTTGTGTGAGTGGTGCTCAGGGCTCAGCCCAGGGGCTCCCATATGCCAGGGAAGCACCGTATCACTAAGATACACCCTATCCTATAAACCAAATAGCACCCCAACCTCTAGCCATTAGATGCCAAGAACACACATCCAGTCTCCCCTTCCCATCAATTTTAACAACCAAAAATGTTTTCAGAGTTTGTCCAATGTCCCCTACAGGGCAGACCTACCCCTGAGTGTGAACTACTTTATTACTAGAGCTTAAAAAAAAAAAAAAAAAAAAAAAAAACTTTTACTGTGAAATAACACCTGTGGCTTGCAATTTTTTTATGCCAGAAAGAGTCCTACCATCCACAAAGGGCCGTTTAGAGGGCTCATGGGCCCGGCATTCATCAATGATCTTCTGCAGCAACTCGGGGCAATCTTCACCCACTGGCTCCTGCTTCCGGCCCTCAGCTACCAGCTCGTAGATCATCTTAGAATCACAGCCTGGCATGGAAAAGACAGGCTATGAGGCTTAAAAATTTCACTCACATTCTTCTCTCTGGATATTGACAGCTAGAATTAGGATGAGGGACTTCAAGCATGGAATAAAAGAAAAGAAAGAAAAATAGGAAAAAAGGGAAGGAAGGAAGAATGGGGGGAAGAGAAAAAGAAAGAAAGAAAGAAAGAAAGAAAGAAAGAAAGAAAGAAAGAAAGAAGATTTTCTAATGACTCTACCAACCAGCTCAGGTAATTCCTACATTAGAGAACCAAGTGGGTAGGACAGCACTGATGGGAAATTTCTGGTCTCTCAGAAGAGGACCCAACCCCAAGTCAGCCTTCATGTTCTTCACCTTCAAATGGGATCTTTCCAGTAGCAATTTCCCAGAGCACAATTCCAAAACTAGAAGAAAACCAAGGGCTTGTCAGGCGGACCACAAAGCGCTTGCTGTGCCGCCCTCCGGAACCCACGTACTGGCAGAAGGAGAGAGATGACCCTAAAAAGTTGTTCTCTTCACACACATGCATGCCACGCTTTCACCACGCCCTCACACACACATATACACACAGAGATACATTAAAAATTAAAAAAAAAAAAAAAAAAAGAGTTGGCTGGAGAGCAGGCTCAGTGGTTAAGAGCATTTGCTAGCCTGGGTTCAGTTCCTAGCACCCACATGGCAATTCACAGCTAACTGTAATTCTAGTTTCAGGGGATCAGATGCCCTCTTCTGGCCTCTGTGACACTGCATATGGTGCATATACGCTCACACATATTATATAACATTATATATATATATATATATATTTTTTTTTTTTTTAAAATATATAAATTTAAAAGTAAAACCCAGAAACTAAGCACCTAGCACATTTCTTTTCCCATGCCCCCTCTGCCTTTTCTGGAAACTCTGAATTTCCTGGCTGCCACCCAGCTCCAGTCAATACCCCACCCCACACCCTGTGCTAGGGATGGAAGCTAGAAAACTGTACACATTAGGCAAGTTCTTTGCCACTGACCTACAACCCTAACCCTGCTCAATAGAATGAAGATGGTCCTCAGAGGAGGAGTTTGCCTGGGACCGTCCTGTCCCTTCCACCTGAGTTAGAATCCATACAAGAACACAAACATACCTATATATCTCCGCCTTTTGGTCATACACGCAATACACGTCTTTCAGTCTCTGAGGGGAGACATATGCTGTCGAACTGAATCTCTCTGCCTTAGTGCTCTTTGTCTTCCGACTGATGGAAGTCTGTGTTTTGCTTAATTCAAATCCTGCAAGCTGGACAGAAAGATGAGTTAGAGGTTTATGTTGGTATGATGTTCTTGTGGAATGTATACAGTTTACCCTTGTTCGTTCAAATGTTGATTGCTCTACCCCACTATCTGATTTCAATAGGACATTGCATTCCATTGATGTTAATTCTGAGCATCACCTGTCTCAAGTTTGTGTAAACACGCCACCATTTGTTCTCCATTTGTGGAGAAGGGAGTGAGTGGGGATAGTAGGAGAGGAGAGACTGGGAAGAGAGGACATGGAACCATGAGGAGAGATGAACTGGATCTAACCTATGACTAAAAGCAAGTATAATGTGGGAAATCTGAATGGGAGGAAACTATGTGGGCTTGGAGGTTTAGGATGAGTAACTATTGCCCAGCATTGTGCTCAAGGTTAATTAAGCAAATCCTAGTCTCTGTGTGGTGATTGGGTATACAGCTGGTTTAGGAATAATCACTATTAAATCAATATTAAATCTTAATAATCAACAACAGGTATATATTGAAAAAGCAAGCTCCTGGGTGGAGGGGTAGAGGATGGGAGTTGAAGGTGGCCTTTTCCTTTGGGGATTTATTTCCAATGGTGCCTTAAGAGTATGTGTTTGTTGACATTGTAGGTTCAATTTATCACAGTTCACAGGGGAGTGCAGTTGAGTTCAGTGAGTGAATCAGTCAGTTTGAGAGTCAGTGCAGGGGAGTTGGTGTCAGTTCAGTTCGTGAAGTTTAGAAGCAGTTTTACCAGGACAGTTGTACAGAGACAGGTTGCAAAGACAGAACAAGCTAGATGCAGATAAATAAAAAAAAAAATAATAAGCCAGAGAATGAGAAGCAGCCAGGTAATTAGAACATATTGCCAAAGTTAATCTGAGGCCAACCAGAGCAATTCAGTCAGAAGCTGAGTTGAGGGAAGCCAGTCTGAATCAGTTAGCTTGGAGAGGAGTTTTGAGCCAGAACAGGTGAATTCAATCAGCCAACCAGAGTTCAGAAAGAACTAGAAAAGGGCTAGTATTCAGCAGTAAGCCTCTGAGGTGATAATTACATCAGGCGAATAAAAGACACTTTTACACTTCTGGATTTTACACGAAACATGTGAGTTATCTTTGTCAACCCAAAGTGGTCACAGAATTCTAAAGATGCCATAGCATGACTAAAGGGAGTACATGCTCTTGCTCCCTATGGAGCCATCATCAGTGTGCAGGAGAACAGGTTGACCAAAGTCAGCCAGGTACTCAGAGTCATCCAGGTACTCAAATCTAGGGCTCAGGTCAAGAAAAGGCTAAAGCACATAGCTGGCACAAGGTGTGTTTCCATAGGCCTTTAATTCCAGCACTCAGGAGGCAGAGGCAGGCAGCTCTCTGTGCGTTTGAGGCCATCTTGATCAACACAGCAAGTCCCAGGACAGCCAGGCTGCATAGAAAAACCCTGTCTCAAAAAACAAACAAACAAACAAACAAACAAAAACGACAACAGAAGACACTTAGGTAGGGAAGCCATCTGAAAGGCAGAAAAGCTCTGCTACGTGAAGCTGGAAGAAAGAACAGTATCTGTGAATCCTTCTGCTGGGCGCCTGTTGGTTGCTATTGAAATGGGCAAGCTCAGAAAGCTACTGCTCCTGTCCGCATGCCAGTCTGGATGTAAAGTGAGGAATGTCGAGGACGGTATCTCAGTCCTCCTTCCCCCATAGCCATGCTCCGGTGGCTGGAATTGACAGCTAGCCCCAGCAATGTGACAGCAGCCATGGGCAAGAAGAAAACCACCAAGAGGTCAGATTAAGTGAACATTTATGATTACAATCACTTCAGGCCCACAAGGTATTCTATGGATATTCCCTTGGACAAAAGGGCCACCATCAAGGATGTCTTCAGGGACCCTGCTTTGAAACTCAAGGACAATTGGGGTCCTAGGTCAAGTTTGAGGAGTGATATAAGATGGGCAAGAACATGCGGTTCTTTCAGAAGCTTCAGTTTTAGGTGCGCTTTTGTTTCTGTCATTAAAAACAAGAAAGAAAAAAAAAGTATCTATGGATGACAAAACATTTCTTTACAATTTTTGGCGTTTTGGACAAAGAGTTAGCAAAAACCCTTTCTTCCTCTGAGAAAAATGGTAGATTTTCGGTTCACCTTCACTTCTGTTCCTCTGGAAAATTGATAAAGGTAGAACGCCAACCTATGCTGTACCCTAATGATAAAAACGAGGGCTGATATGTGAATTGCTTTAGGGTGGGGGGTTGGAGGGCCATAAATACCCTATAGGCATGCTGGACTTTGTAGCAAATATTATTTGTGGAAACTGGCTCATCCCTTTCAGGAGCATTGGACAGAATGTCTGCAGGGTTGTGTGAGATGTTGACCCTTCCAAGTCATGAGACTTCAAAGTCTGGGTGGCCCCCAAACCCACCTAATGGGAAACCCTTTCTTTAGCAACTGGTAGGAACAAAGCCGCTGTCTCGCCGATGTGAGGACCCCTGCCGGAGAGAAGGGCTGATGCTGTTAGCAAGCCGGGAGATCTCCCTGGGAGAGCCTTGTAAGTGACCCTGAATGCCAAGTGTGGCCTCATGCATGAGGCTCCTCTGAAGCTGAATGCTTAGCTGAACATAAGCAGACCCCCTGATAGGTACTATAGTGCTGGAGGCGGTGTCTAAACCTCTTAGAAAAAAAAAAATGACCCTCAGCTCATCCCTGCTCTGCGAGGTGAGGTGGTAGGAAGGTAGGCCCATCAGAGTAGGAGGAGAGGGTGGGAGCTGTTCTGTGGTGGGCACCCTGGAAGCTGTAAAAGCAGGAGAAGAGATGCAGCCAGTTCTAAAATCTAAGAGAGAAATAAGAAGGCACCAATCCGGGGAGCCCTTGGAGTAGACGCTCACCTTTACTTGGTAGCCTCCAGCTACCAGGAAGCTGGAGCTGCTGATGTTTCTGTGGAGACGAGGTGTTTCCGAGTGGTGTAGCCTGATGACAACCGAAGTTAGGGTGTATTAACGACCCTGGCATCAACCACCTTTAATGGGATAATGAGGCCACCTAGTACCCCTCCTTCGTGTGGGCGGTTATCTGTGGACAACCTAGCAAAACACACTCGCCTAGCATCAGAGTCGGTAGAGGAAGGGAGGGAAACCGTCTGGGGCTTCTGGTCTGCTCTGCCATCATCTCTGAGGTCATCAGTAGCTCAGTCAGAGGCCCCAGTTATTTGTGCCCGTTTAACCCTCTGGTACCTGTACAAGCCTTTGGCTGCCCCCAGGACTAGGAGAATGCGCACGCTCATTGTGAGCTCCTTTTCTTTATCCAGCAGTTCCCTCAGCGTCCCAAGTTCACAGTACTCCATGACAATGGAGAATTCGGGGGGCTCCACTAGTGGAAAAGAAGCAGACGCTGTGAAGATCCAGCCCCACTCAGGGCTTCCACACTGCAAATCAGCTCTCAGCTTCCTTCTATAGAGATACACTCTGCCCTGAAGTGAGTCAACCCGATTTTAAAGTATAAAATCTCCATCTGAAGGAAACTTTCAGTGGCTCTTAATTCTCTCAGGTAATGGCCGAGGTGATTTCTGTCACCTTGGATGTGTTCATTTCTATCCTGTGGTCCGAGACCTTAAAAATGTGCCACTTGGTTTTAGCTAAAGGATAAGAAGCAATTAAAGCCTCATTAAAAAATAAAGAGTGCTGAGTGTGGTGTTGCACGGTATGGCTCACAGAACTTAGGAGGCAGAGGCAGGAGACTGAGTTTCAGGACAGCCACAGCTACATACTGAGATTCTGTCTTAAAGCAAAATAGCTGGGCCGTGCTGGCACAGGCCTCTAATCCCAGCACAGTGGATCTCTGTTCGAAGCCACCACCTTCACAAGTATTTTGTTTTGTTTTTGTTTTTGGTTATTCAAGACAGGATTTCTCTGTGTAGCCCTGGCTAGCATGGAACTCTCTCTGTGTAGACCAGGCTGGCCCCAAACTCACAGTGATCTGCCTGCCTCTGCCTCCTGAGCACTGGGATTAAAGGCCACGCCTCTCTTTCTAACCTCTTAAGCTCTCATCTATGAATCCATAACAAATGTCCCTTAAAAAAAAAATGGAACATACTAAAACACAGACAGCATATTCGAGGCATTCAAAACTTGACCAGTACCAGAATCCCCCCTTACCTGTTTCATCGATGCAAATCCCAAATATACGCAAGATGTTGGGAGAGTCAAATTTCTTCATGGTTCTGATCTCATTGTTGAAAGTGTCCCTCACTATTCTAGGAGGGTGAAAGGAGAAATTAGCTTTGGGACTTTGGTGGTCCCTCAAAGAATATAGAGTAGCAGGGGCTTGAGACACCATCAGAATCTGTTGGCATCAGGGAAAATGAGACTGCAAGTCTGGCTGCAAGTCTAACTTCCCAGATGAACTTGGTAGCAGAATTGGTCCCTAAGCATCTGTGACAAGAAGAGTAGGATTTGCTCATCTCTTTCTGGTATTTGATAGAATTGCATTTCTTTGTGATTTATATGGCAAACTAAGATGTCGAGGTTTTTTGTTTGTTTGTTTGTTTTTACCAGTCATATTTTATTTTGGTAAATATCCTGAAAAACTGTGGTATGTGTTCTTGATCAGCAAAAATAAGAAAATTAGGGATTATCTATTAAGTGAAAATCTATAAACAAAATCCCTTCCAGAACATAGTCTCAGGAATGTGGGTGTCAGTAATTAGTAAGGGCCACAGGCCCCATCAGTTCAGTCCAGACTGCTCATTCACATGATTGTGAGACCAAAAGAGGAAATGATATTTGTCCAAGATCTGTCAGGGAGGCAGAGCAAGGCCAAAGCATGTAGAAATCGACTGTATTTCAGTGTGCTAGCTCTGAGAAATCTGAAAACAAAGATAGAATAATTTAATTTACAATAGTGTGAAAAGAGCAAAAAACTTACAGATAAAATTAACAAAGCCAGGCAGGATGGTGAAGGTCATCAATACAAGTACTATAAAGGCAGAGACAGGAGGATCTCTGTGAGTTCCAAGCAAGCCAGGGCTACTTAGTGAGACTGTCTCAAACAAACAAACAGACCCTTCCACTCCCAAAAAAGGCCCAATCAGTATGTTCACTGATGCAAAGACAAATAAATTGACCCATGGGATGGTTCAGAGATACAGGAATTAGACTGATATTTACACAAAAATAAGTGTGCTGCCCATCAGTGGAGGGAAGGATGGGTTATTTACTAGATAACATAAGAGAAAATGGACTTACTCTGTGGATAAAACTGAAACTAAGCCCTTCACAGTATCACATACAAAAGCTGATTCCAGGAGGAATAAAGCCTAAACTTAAAAACTAAAACTGGGGGCTGGAGAGATGGCTCAGAGGTCAAGAGCACCGATCGTTCTTCCATAGCACCCCGGTTCAATTCCCAGCATTCACCTAGTGGCTCACTACCATCCTTAACTCTGGGACCAGGGGATTCGGCACCTCCTCTGCCTTTGCAAACACCAGGAATGGAAGTGTTGCGCAGGCGTACATGCAGGAAAATCAGCTGCACACATAAAATGACATAACAAAAATTTAGTAAAGGTTTAAGATCATAACAACTGTACGTGTGTTGGCACACCTTTAATGCCAGTACTGTATAGGCCAAGGCAAGTGGAGCTCAATGAGAGTGAGGCCAGCGTTCCAGGCCTGCCAGAGCTACATAGTGAGACCCTATGTAAATAAATAAGTAGGTAGAGAGATGGATAAAGTTCTAGGTATAGGGAAGTGTATTTTGAGAGCACAAATAATAAGGTGGCGTTCCGGTATATCTAAATAAAAATTAAAGATGCATGTTTGATAATGGACATCAAGGACAAAGTTAAAATGCAGATCATGTGATAATGGAAGGTTTTTGCAATATCTACAGCTGACAAATGATTGACTTCCATGGTATTCAGGGTTCTTATGCAAATGAGAAAAAAAACATAGAAATTGCAAATGTGACAAAGGAGAGGGCAGAGGCTATGAAGAGGTAATTCACAGAAAAGAGAAGCTGAATAGCTATTGTGAGTGATGCAGCATTAGATAAGCGTGCGCACTCACCTCTGTGGGAGGCACAGGAAGACCAAAACAAAACAAAACAAAAATCACATGTTCTCCATCATATGTGGATCCTGACTCCTAATGTTTGTATGCAAGTAAGGGGTTGTGAGATTGGGTATAGACTATGAAACTAGAAAGGAGATCACAAGAGGTGTTGAGAGAAGAGGGGAGGGGCAAAAGGTCACCTGTGACATGAAAATGGAAAAGGAGGCTACTGCGGGGAGGAAGGAGAGAGAGAAAGACAAATTGCATTTGGATATGCCATAATGAGTGAATGGAGGGATGGCTCTGTTCAGTGCATACATACCACTCTCCCAGGGGACCTGAGTTTGGTTCCCAGCACCACAGTGGGTGGCTCACAACTTCTAGTAACTGGCCTCTGGGGGAATCTGATGCCTCTGGCTTTCATGGGCACATGCCTGCAGATGTACTTACTCACACACATACATGTAAAGATAAAATGTCACAATGAAATCTAGTTCTTTGTAAGCCAGCAAAAATCTAAAACCTGAGCTGGCTAAGCGTATACGACTAAACATCAAGCTGGGAGGTGGTGGTGCACGCTTTTAATCCCCAACTTGGGAGGTAGAGGCAGGCTGATCTCTATGAGTTCAAGGCCAGCCTAGTCTACAGAGCAAGTTCTAGGACAGCCAAAGCTACACAGAGAAACCCTATCTTGAAAAACAAAAAAAGAAAGAAAATTTCTTATGATAAAACAAATGTAGAAACCCCACGAGTCAATCAATATATGAAACATGTTCTCAGGCACTGCAGCTGAGAGTGTAATGGTCACTCCAGCCTAAGAGTTCCTGGTGGACTTAGCCAGCTTAAAATATGTGGGGCCTATGCTACAGGTCCTATCCCGGAGCTACAGCCCAAAGAAATTCCTGTGCAAGGGTTGGGGGTGTAGCTCAGTGGCAGTGTTTGCCTCCAAGTGTAAGGCCCAGGGTTCAATTCCTAGTACCTAAAGTTGCCATACACATTCATTAGGGGATTCACATGGTGCCATTATTTTCAGAGGGAGAAAGTTGGAAGCAGATGTTTTATGTCATGGGAAATAGGCAAAATGTAGACTAACACTGAATGATTCATTGGATTCCCCTCAAATGAAGGGGACTCCATCTTCCATGATGCTGAATCAAGAAAGTGAAGAAAGTATCCAACAGACATACCACTCTATCACCTATGAAAGACTAATAGTGATGAGTGTATTTTACAGGAAAGCACAAGAATAAAGCTCTAGAGTTATTGCCTGTAGAATTCCCAGCACACACACACACACAAAGAAGAGGATGGATTGAGAAACAGGATTACAAGGCAACAATTTTGTTGTTGTTGTTGTTTTGACTCAAGGTCTCTATGCATCCCTGGCTAGCCTGCAACTTTCTATATAGACCAGGCTGGCCTTGAACTCAGAGATCACCTGCCTTTGCCTCATGAGTGCAGTGATTAAAGGAGGGCACCACTATGTCTGGAAAAGAGTGTAAATTTTGCAATACACATAAGGCCATGAGTAAAAGGGAAAAAGTTCTAGGGTTGAGGAAGAGAGTTGTTCAAGTATAGCCTTTTTCTTTTGTGTGCATGAGTGTTTTGTCTGCATGTATGTCTGTATACCACAGCGTGCTTGGTGCCTGTGGACCAGAAGAGGGTGTCAAATCCTCTGGAACTGGAGTTTCAGATGCTGTGAGCTGTGATGTTGGTGCTGAGAACTGAACCTGGATCTTCTAGAAGAGTAACAGGCCCTATATTAAGCCAATTCTCCAGCCCTATAGCCGTTGATTCTTTCTCCCTCTCTCTCTTCCTTCCTTCCTTCCTTTCTTTTTCCTGAGATAGGGTTTCTCTGTATAGCCTTGGCTGTCTTGGACTCAATTTGTTGACCAGGCTGGCCTCAAACTCAGAGATCTCCTACTTGGATTACAGGAGTGTGCTACCATGTCCAACTCCTTCCTTCCTTCCTTCCTTCCTTCCTTCCTTCCTTCCTTCCTTCCTTCCTTCCCTCTTTCCTTCCTTCTTTCCTTCTCTCCTTCCTTCCTTCTACTCCTCCTCTTCCTCCTCCTCCTCTTCTTCTTTTGTTTTTTGGTTTTTGGAGACAGGATTTCTCTGTGTAACTGAGCCCTGGCTGTCCTGGACTCAGTTTGTAGACTGGACTCACAGAGATCTGTCTGCCTCTGCTTCTCAAGTGCTAGGACTAAAGGCGTGTACCTATTTCTTAATAACACAGATTAAGTGATTTAACCTTTAGAGCCTGATTTCCCCTAGTTACTAATAACAGTTTCTCCTTGGGAAGTTGTAGAGAATGTGTTGATATGTATGAAGAATCATATAATACAGCTTACTGAACACTTCCGGCCTGGGGGTTGTTAAATACTTTGATGGTGACTGGAGATTTGTGATACTCTCCTCTGTAAAGCTTGCTGAGTTTATTTTCCTTCAGTAAGGTCCATGGAGCTCCAAGATGCTCCTTCTTAATCTCCTTGATTTGTTCCTGTGGGATCTCCCGCCTGGGTTTTAGTGAGCCTGAGACAGAAGGAGACAAAAGGTCAGTGTGCTAAGAAGGTGTTGGAAGGTGGACTCTGTGATGTGAGCTAGAACTGGTTCTGACTGGAGCTTCTGATGGGCTCAACTCAGGGTAGAAGGTCCTCTGCTTCTGAGCTACATGTAGAGACACAGTAAAAGTTACACTGATGTTTTATGCATTTCCTTGTCCTTCTCTTCCAATCTATTTTTTTTTCCTTACAATGCGTGGCATTGAGCCAAGAGATTTGTGATCGCTCAGCAAGTGCTTTACCATTGAACAATGTCCCCAGCCTGCTTTTTCAGTCTTGCCTATCTTTCCAGCCCTAATGCCAGCCTCCCTCATCTCACAGTTGTCTCTACTCCTATTACCACACAACTTGGCACTAGGTCCCTGGCACCATGACTAGTCATTTCAGATCAAACAGAGCCACAGTTCAAGTTCAGCAAATATATTGCTGTCGGTTTTGTGGCTGTTTCCTCACAGATTCCTCATTTTCTTCCTTGAAATTTCATGAAGCTCAAGGAAACTTACAAGACTGAGGAAGCTCAAGAAACTTGCAGGACTCAACAAAAGTCTGTCGCTGGGTGAGAGAAGACTTTCGTGGAGGAGAACAGTGATCCAGCTTTCCTAAGTTCTTGTTCATGCTACTGTGGGAAGCTTTTAGGTCATTCAGATGCCCAAGATTATGCGTACTCCCATAAGTAACTTCTCATTTACACTGGTAATGCTTTGGTTTAGTAAGATGGGCATAGACAAAATCATTCTTTGAACTGTGTGTCAGCTAGTTTTATGCCAACTCGACATAAGCTAGAGTCATTTTAGAAGAAGGAACCCCAATTGAGAAAATGCCCCTACCAGATTGGTCTTGGGCATTTTCTGGATTGATGATTGATGTGGGTGTGCTAACTCACTGTGGGCAGTGCCACCCCTGGGCAGGGTGTCGTGGGTGTTATAAGAAAGCAGGCTGAGCAAGCCGTGAGGAGCAAGCCAGCAAGCAGAATTCCTCCATCACTTCTGCCTGCTTCGGTTTCTGCCTCCAGGTCTCTGTTTTGAATTCCTGTATTGACTTCCCTTAGTAATGGAGTATGACCTGAGAGCTGAAGCTATCACTTCCCACCTCCAGCTTGCTTTTGGTTATGGTGTTTTTATCACAGCAAGAGAAATTAAGATAGTCTGTCTTTCCCCTTTGTGTCTAGGGGATCACAGAAATAGACTCTCCAGGAAGGCAGGGGAGATAGCTCAGTTGTAAAGTGTTGCCATGTGTGGTGGTCTGAAATGAAAATGTCCTCTATAGGACCATAGGAAATGGCACTATTAGGAGGTTTGGCCTTGTGGGAGTGGGTGTGGCTTTGTTGAGGAAGTAGACCACTGAGGGCAGGCTTTGAGGCCTCAGATGCTCAAGCCAGGCCTAGTGTCTCACTCTCTTCCTGCTGCCTGCCAATCCAGATATATAACTACTCTCAGCTACCCCTCCAGCACCATACGTGCCTGCATCCTGCCATGCTTCCTGTCATTATGACGATGAGACTGAACTGTAAGACCGCCTCAGTTAAATGCTTTCCTCTCTGAGAGTTACCGTGGTCATGGCGTCTCTTCACAGCAACAGAAACCCTGACTAAGACACCACAGAAGTGTGAAAACCTGGGTCTGATCTCTAGAATCCACGTAAAGCTGGGCGTGATGCTGTAAACTTCTGTAATCCCAGCCCTCGGGAGGTGGTTATAGGTGAAGCCCTGGGGTTTGCTGGCCAGCCAGCTCAGCCTGACTGATGGGCCCCAGGTCACTGTGAGAGGCTTGTCTCACAAAACAAAATAGAGGGCTCCAGCAAGGTAAGACTTGAGTTTGACCTCTGCCTTCCACATGCATGCGCACGCATGAGCACACGCGCGCGAACACACACCTTCATACACGTGAACATACACTCCTGAAAGAAAAGTCGTACGACACATTTGCACTGTCTCTCTGTCATCTCCTCTCCTCTGCCCCGAAGGCAGCCAGCTCCTTTTTCTGAGCACAGTCTCTGTCTGAAGCAAAATCTTTAGAGTTTTATTGAATGAATGAATGAATGAATGAGTGAATTAACTGAGCGCCTCAAAATTTCATTTAAGTTTCTTGTGTGTGTATGTGTTTTGCACGTACGCACAGTGGTTGACATCAAGTGTCTTTCTCTATCGCTTACCATCTTGCTTATTTAAAAATGTTTATTTTTTATTTTATGTACAGGAAAGTATGCCTGCATGTCTGCATGTGCACCGCATGTGCGTATGGCCTCCAAAAGCCAGACGAAGGAGTGCTGGACCTGAATCTGGGTCCTCTGCAGAGACTAGTGACCATTTTAACCACTGAGCCGTCTCTCCAGCCCCTAGCCGCCTTATATCTGAGACAAGAGCTCTCACTGAATCTGCAGCTTGCTGACTGGCTAGACTTGCTGGGTAGTGAGCCCCAGAGATCTTGTCTTCAACTTCCAATGTTGAGATACCCTGCCTGTTTGGTTGTTGTTGTTGTTGTTGTTGTTTAATGTGGATGCCAGGGATCCAAACATAGACCCTCATGCCCACACAGCAAGCGCTTTGCCCATTGAACCATCTCCAAAGCCCTTGGTTGGAATTTCTTACAGACATTCGGTAAATGAACTGAAGCTTTGATGCTGTTACAGTTTGCCTGTTAGATGTCCCCAAAGGCCCATGTGTTAAGAGCTTGGTTCCCAGGACGGTGCTGTTGGGAGATGGTGGGCATTTAAATAGATGGGGACAAATGGTAGGTCCTAAGGTACTTGCAGGCATGCTTCTAAAGGGGATTGCGGGACCCCAGTCTCTTCCTCCTCCTCTCTTTTTTACTTCTTGTCCATCAGGTGGGTGTTTACGATTCATCACATGTCTCCCTGATAAGCTGCCTTGCCACAGACTCAAAAACAATGGGGCTAATAACCAATCGAGGACTGAATATCTTCAAAACTGTGAGCCTCAGTAAACTATCTAAGCCACTATATTGCGTATCTGTTACTATGACAAAACTTGACTGATACAGACGCTATTCAATTATTATTTATTTATTTTTGAGGCAGCGTTTCTCTGTGTAGCCCTGGCTCTCCTGGAACTCACTCTGTAGAACAGGCAGGCTAGCCTCAATTCCCCTGCCTCTGGAGTGCTAGAATTAAAGGTGTGCCCCACCATGCTTGGCGTATTTTAGTACTCTGACAGGAGCTATGGATTTCTTGCTGGACAAGAGGCCACTTTCAAGTGCTGCTCCACGGAAGAAGCCTGGGTTAACTGTAGCCACATCCCAAAACCTGTGAGCCGCTTCCAGTACTATCCAGGAGAGAAAACGGGGCAGGGCAAGAGCAGAGTAGGCTGGAATTCCTAGCAAACGAATGGCTTCTAACTTGGGAGCATTCACTGCAACAGGGCATGCGACAAACTTACATTGCTTCAGAGTTTCCTTGATTTCTTCCATGTCAATTTTCAACTGCATCAGGAGATCTTGCATACTTTCATTTCTGCAGGAAAAGGGGGTTTAACACATCCTTAAAAATACAAGAGCTAAAAAATAAAGAAAAAAAATATGAGTGCTGAACCGAAACTGCGTGTGCATCAAAACCAAATGTTAATTAAAGCCACCAAGTGACAGTTTCCAAACTCTATTAAATACATGCTTGGTTAGGAAAGACTACTTACTGTTAATATTCATCTTTCTACTTTCAGACACATAGGAAATGCCTTGAAGCCTGGGTGTGTGAATCTCTTTGGCCAAGAAAGAGAGTGAAAACGATGCGGCTTCCATCTGAAATATCCCCATGGGCTCGTGCTCTGGGCATTCGATCTCCAGGGAGTGGCACTGTTCTGAAGGTTGTGGAGCCTTTGCAGAGTCAGGCCTGGTTGGCAGGAGTGGGTCCCTGGGGTGAGTCTTTGAAGTTTATACCCACCATTGGTCTGGTCTGCTTTTTTACTTCCTAGTCTGTCACATTTGGGAAGCCTCGGCCACCCAACTCCCACTGCCATAGAACCGCCCACGCCTTTCCTGCCAGGACAGCTGGGAAATACTTTGAACTGAATGAGTTCAGATAAGTCTTTCTGCTCCTAATCGGCTCTTGTCAGGAGGTTTTGTTTGTTTGTTTGTTTGTTTGTTTTCAGTGAAGCTTTTTTTTTTTAAATTCTATTCAGTGTCCTAACCTGGCTGCTTTGGGAGTGGGAATTTGTATCAACAGGGAAGTGCTGGCCTTCTGGAAGTATCCTGAGGAGGAAAGTCATCTCGGAGGGTCTCATGCACCCTGCTTGAACAAGAAATAAATTTATCTCTATAAAACACTGAACTGTTAGTGCTTTAAGATTTATGATTAGTTTTGTTAGTTTTGTCTATTTGTATTTGGACATGTGTCTGCATGACTGTATGCTTTGTGTGGGTATGCTTCGTAGGTCAGAAAAAAATGGATTCTCTGAAACTAGTGTTACAGGCGGTTGTGAGCTGCACATGAGCGCTGGTGTTTTAGTTAGGGTTTCTATCGATGCGGCAAAAACACCATGTCCAAAAGAAAATTGGGAAGGAAAGGGTTTACTGAGCTTACACTCCCATATCATAGTCCATCATTAGAGGAAGTCAGGACAGGAACTCAAACAAGGCAGAACCTGGAGGCAGGAGCTGATGCAGAGGCTATGGAGGGGTGCTGCTTAATGGCTTGCTCAGCCTTCCTTCTTCTAGAACCCAGACCACCAGCCCAGGGATGGCACTACCCACAATGGGCTGGGCCCTCCTCTATTGATTACTAAGTGAGAAAATGGCTCACAGCTGGCTCTCATGAAGGCATTTCTTCAACTGAGGCTCCTTTCCCTCTGATGACTCCAGCTTGTGTCAAGTTGACACACAAAACCAGTCAAGAGCAGGAAGTGTTCTTAACTGCTGAGCCATCTCTCTAGTCCTGGCATAATTTATATTATATATAAAATCTCACCATCTCAGTGAGGTCACCATCTTAGTGCTGAGGAAATCTGAGAATTCAAGATGTTTAGCCTTGTGGAAATGTTTTTCCTCAAGATTTATAAATATATAAACCTCTGTTGCAGGCAATATAGCAACCTCTATAAAAACTGAAAATGTTCCTTGCCTTTAACCCGGCAGTTAGCCCAGGTAATTCCGCTACTGGGCATGTCTCCTAAAATTATTCTGAAACACACACAAAGATGTTCATTATGAAATTGTTTATAACTGTACAATTGGATACAGTTTACATATTCATCAGTATATCTGCTCTATATATACCAAGGAATACTAGAGAAATCTATAGATATTTATTTGGAAGAATACTCAAGATTATTACATCTCCAGAGGACCAGTAAAAACCTGATACAAAATGAGTATGTGTCTGGGTCCCTTGAGGTCAAGGATGATGGGGAGATTAACTCCTTATGCTGGGACTTTTTTTTTTTTTCCTGTGACAGGGTCTCACTATGTAGCTTTAGCTGCCCTAAAGCTCATTATGTAGACCAGGTTGGCCTTGAACTCACAGAGATCCCCCTGACTCTGCCTCCCATGTACTGAGATTAAAGGCCTTGAACCTCTAAACTCGGCCATGCTGGGCCTTTTAAAAAAAATCTTTTGAATGTGGTACTATGTGTCTGTATCACCCATACAGAAGCATAAAGGGGAGAGCAGGAAGTCAGTCCTATCTTCCAGCTTACTGACTTACACACGGATCCTGCCTCCCTGAAGAGGTGGACCTCCATGAAAAGTCTGAAGGCTAGAAAAGTTGGAAGCTGTTGTGGTTTGAATGAAAATGCCCCCTGTGGGCCCACAAGGAGTGGCACCATTAGAAGGTGAACTTGTCAGAGTAGGTGTGGCCTCATTGGAGGAGGTGTGTCACTGGGGGTGGGCTTTGAGGTTTAAGATGCTCAAGCCAGGCCCAGTGACACTCTCATCCTGTGGCCGCCGATCCAGACATAGAACTCTGAGCTGCCTCTCCAGCACCACGTCTGCCTGCACACGGCCATGCTTCCCGCCATAACGATAGTGAATTACACCTCTGAACTTTAAGGCAGCCCCAATTAAATGTTTTCTTTTGTAATATTTGCTGTGGTCACGTGCTTCTTCATAGCAACAAAACCCTAAGACAGGAGCCAGTCCTGCCTTCTACTTGAGTCAGCCTCTCTGTGCTACAGTAGCCTGCCCACCCCAATCCCCCATTCTCTTTCACTCTGACTGTATTTGGTAGGATTACATTTGTCTTGGTTTCTCTTGTTACAAAAAAAAAGTACTAATTTGCTTAAAAGCCTCCTCATTTGTCCCATTTAGATGCCTTCTGCCATCTTGACAGGACATGGATCTCCACTCTCCAAATCAAAGCATCGGGACAGCTGCCTCTAAATATGCATCTATGTGTTCTCCTGTCCTACCTGGTCTGCTGTCTGTTCCTGTGATAAATACCACGACCAAAGTCACAAGGAGGAAAGGGTTTCTGCCCGGAGGTTGGTCTGATGCATGTTACTGGCCCCTCAAGATCTGGGTCTGTCTATCCTTGTTTTGTAAATCTGCCTGAGACATACCTGATTGGTTGATTAACTGGCCTATACCTGGGCAGGGCAGAATGGGGTAGGCCTGGCCAAGGTTCCTAGGCTTTTGAGTCCAGGAAGAGAGGAAGAAGAAGGATGCTGTGATGGGTTAGTGTGGAGAAGAAACCATGTGGGTGAAAAGAAAGGACTCCAATAATGGTGTGGAAAAGCCCAGATGAAGAATATAAGCAAGGACCATGGGATTATGTATGGAGGGTAGACCAGATGAGGAGAATTAAGGTGGATGGCATTGGAAAGGGGCTGGGAGATGGATAGTGAGGATATTGAGACAGTGTAAGGAAAATCTCTGCCTGGCCCAAGGTGAATAAGGCAATTATAAATCTGACAGGTGTCTGTGTCTTATTAATTGTGATGGCGGGCTAAATAATACTGCCATGATAATCCTAGGGCTAATAATAAACATTATATAGCCAACAGCCATTTATCCTTACTACAACAGGTTTCTTTAGTTAGGTAGTTAACATATTACAGTCTGTCATCCACAGAAGCCAGGGCAAGGAGCTTAAGGCAGAAACTTGGAGGCCTCCGCCTCCCCCGCCCTTGTAGCTATAGGGTAAGTTTATAGTCCTGCCTAGTTCCTGCCTCTGGGCCACTTGGCACACAGGCTAGGCCAGGCTAGATCACATGATGCTGTTGTGGGAACTCTCCTAGTGATCTCTTCACTAAAAGGCCTCATCATGGCTGTCTATGGCCATCAGCCTGTAACTCCCCTGATAAAAAGGTAGCCTTGTACCAGCTTCCTTTCCTACATGCCTCTTCTATCTTCTTAAAGAATGTATTTATTTATATTTTTATATGCATTGGTGTTCAGGCTGAATGTCTGTCTGTGTGAGGGTGTCAGACCTTAGAGTTACAGACAGGTGTGAGCTGCCTTGTGGGTGCTGGGACTTGAACCTGGGTCCCCTGGAAGAACAGTCAGTGGTCTTAACTGCTGAGCCATCTCTCCAGGCCACTCATTTTTATCTTTTAGCCAACAGTGCTTCGGGGTCATATTACTGGGTCGTCATAGGTCTAAGGAGGTTGTATTTGTTTCCATGTTTCCCTTGTCTTCCCTCTCCTGGTGACCTAGGCTCAGCCTTTACCTTCTACCTCCAGCCTAGCCCATGCCTCGCTTCTCTAGAGCCTGACCCCCCACTATGCTGGAGGAGGGCGATTCTAGCTTGAGCTACTGTTACCCTCTAATGTGGTCTCCCAACTCAGTACACACTTCTGTTCTGACTCCCTCATAGACCAGGCTGGCCTCAAACTCACGGAGACCCATCCTCTGTGCCACCCGAGTGCTGGGATCAGAGGTGTGTGCTACCACACCAGCTGAGGTTTAGAACAGCGCTGTGTACCCTGCACCCAACCCACGTTTCCTTAGTTTGCTTTATTTAATTCTATTTTTAATCTTAAGTGGGAGTCCCATAGAAGCTAAGGCTGTAAGCTCTGAACTGGAATTCCAAATATTACATCAAAGAGTGAGTAGAGATGCAGCAGAGAGGCAAAGGAGACTCATAGGCAGGTAGCAATGTGTCCCCTATTCTATAAAAGCTTCCCCAGATTTTACCATACAGCGGGATTTTCTGAGTCACAGGCAGACACAACTGTTCAAACTCCTTCATCATTCCTCTCCTTTAGCAGATCAAAGTGAGGCTAAGATACTCCCCGATTCCATCTACTCCTCCACTCAACCCCCAGATCCAACCTATTCTTTCTCTCACTCACCGGTCTTCCTCTGCATCCTGACGATCTTCCTGCTGCCAGGATGCTTGCTTGCTGCACTGATCAACCTGAAGCAGCATCAAGAGCTCCTCCCAGACATCTCTCAGCTTCTCATTCACCTCATGGAAGAGTATCTTCTCACTGCCCGCAGTTATAAACTTCCAAATATTGGACTTACTGCTGAACTTTTCTGTCTGCTCCCAAACCTCCTTTAGGACATCCTCAAAACGGCCCAGGATACCAGTTTTATCATCCAGCAGGTTCTTGTTTCCTTGGGCTTGGAGCCTCTGGAGAAGCTGTAGCAAGACACGCACACGTTCCCCTAGACGCTGGCACTGTTTCTGGCAGTATTTCATCTTTTCACACTGTTTATAGATGCGGTTGCCTAAGAAGATGATCTGTTCCACTTTATCCATACCTGGAAGAGAACCATAGATTGGCCAAAGTCCCACAATCCCCTGTGTATCTATTACTAAGCTATTGGAGAGTCAAGGGTATCTGTGATCTCAAAGCCAGAAAGGGGTTACCGCCACCGAGTAAAATAAAGCTGTCTGTCAAATCCATTCTGTCCTTGTAACAGAGCTTGAACTGGGAAGTACTGGCCAGCTAGCACCCTAGCTTCAGCCTCCACTGTGACGCCTTGAGGCCATGTGATTAGCACTTGACTGTGGGGTTGTGAGTGGATGAGACTTGTGCCACTTTGGGCTGAGACAGGTTTGCAAGGATAGGATCATGGGGATACTGGTATCCAAAAGAAATGACCTTGGGTTCCTGAATAATTGCTTGGAGGAAAGCTGCCATGTTGCCAGAATTTCTACTATGGACTATGATTGAAGATGCAGTTTCAGTTGTATGAAAACCATTATATTTGTGGGGGGGGGGGGCATTTTGGTCATATTTAGCCTATCCTAACACTGTTGAGGTATTAGAAATATCTTCAAAGGCCAAGCAAGCAACCCAAACCAGTGGCGTGAGCTGATTAGAATTAGCCTCTAGTGCTGCAAAGAGATATGCTTCCAGCGAGGTGTAGTGGTGCCTCCTAGCCTCCTAGCACTCAGGAGGCTGAGGCGGAAGAATCATGAGTTCAAAGCCAGTCCCAGCTACCTAAATGAGATCCTGTCTCAAAAAAAAAAAAAAAAAAAAAAAAATCCAAAGGGGTTATAGCTCAGTGGTGGAATGTTTGCCCAGCATTAGCTAAGGCTCTGAGTGTGAGTGATCTTCAGCACAGCTTAGAGAGAAGCTCCTGGAGCCAGAGAAATGGCCCAGTGTTTAAGAGCACATGCTGCTCTTCAGAGGAGACTCAGTGTGCTCTTCTGACCTCTGCAGGCACCAGGCATGCACATGGGACAATGCATACATGCATACACACACACACACACACACACACACACACACACACACACAGGCAAAACATTCACACACAAGAAACATTCACACATGTTTAGATAAATCTAAACCTGAAAACTTCCTTTCGGTTTCTATGACATGGCCTTTTAGTCCATCTTTCACTTGTCCATTTTTGCTTTGTTTTGTTTTGAAACAGGCTCTTGTTACATGTCTCAGAATGACCTTGGCCTCCCTATCCTTTTACTTCAGTTTCCTGCTTCCTCTCCGATTTGGATAGATGGAATAGTCCAGTCATTCACATCCTTCCTTCAAATCCTGCAGGAGAAAGCCACAGGCTAGCCCTTCGGCACATGGTCAAAGAAACCACTCAAGCTCCATCTGGAAAGACAGGGAAGTTACTCAGCAAGCCAACACCTGCTCTTCTGTAAGGGTAAAGGATCTCTCAGTTTCTTGGGAGCAGCCAGAAATCTGGACTTTCACGTCAGACCTCTTAATTATAAATCTTGCAAGCAAGCCAAAGAGTGGTTAGAAACTGTTACTGCCTAGGGCTGGGAGATTTTCAGTCTGTACAGCGTCTGCTGAACAAGCAGGAAGCCCTGAGTTCGGCTCCCCGGCACCAACATAAAAACCCGGGGAACGGCGGTGCATATCTGTGACTCTGGCTCTGGGAGGGCCTGTTCCCTCGAGTTGCCCCCTGACCTTTTCATGTGGACTCACTTTAAATAAACAAATAAATAAGTATAAAAATTAAAGTGGAAAGTGATGGGGGAAGCCACCTGACCTTGACCTCCAGCCTCCTCACATCGATGCACCCACATCACACGCACACACATATTCACTGCACATACATACCCACAATTTTTCTGTTTTTGGTTTTTTTGAGACAGGGTTTCTCTCTGTGGCTGTCCTGGACTCACTTTATAGACCAGGCTGCCCTGAAACTCTTAGTGATCCACCTGCCTCTGCCTCCCAGGGTGCTGGGATTAAAGGTGTTCACCACCATGCCCAGCTCATACCCATAATTTTTTTAAAAAAGTAACAACAAAAAAAATGTGTACTAAAACACCATGTAGATCAAATAGGGCATGTCTGCTAAAGGATCATTGCCAGTTCTGATTGGCCACCTTAACCACAATTGGCCAAGGATATAGGATTGAAAATCAACTCTGGATGAGGCAGGAGAATTTTTATATGAGTTTGAAGCTATATGAGCTTAGGCTATAGTGTGAGATCTTGTCTCAAAAAACAAAAATGGCCGCTTCTCTCAGTCTCACTACTTTTCTGTCTCTTTCACTGTGGTGTACATATATGCAAAACACACACCGAAAATAAAATAAATGTTTATCATTTATATAGTGTTCTGTCTGCACGTGTGCTTGCATGCCAGAAGAGGGCATCGGATCTTATTATAGATGGTTGTGAGCCACCATGTGGTTGCTGGGAATTGAACTCAGGACATTTAGGAAGAATAGTCAGCTCTCTTAACCTCTGAGCCATCTCTCCAGCCCAGTAAATCTTTACAAAGGAACAATTGGCATATGAGCTAAGGTGGAGAGAATGTTTGTAAGTACCTGGCTCCTCTGAAAGCCAGCTGTTTGCACCCCACCTGTCTCCTTTTGTCCTTCTTCTGTGAATGCGATGGGGACTCCATGGAGCCCACTTCCTACAACTTGTAATGAAGCTTACATAAGAACGATAGAAAAAGGGAAGATTCTAAGCTGACGACAATGCTGAGCTGCTGGTTTAAGCTGCTGCTGAAATCTATGTCACTCCTATCTACAGGTTTCAACCTTCCTTCTTCTGCCTTTTAACATCTTCATTTCTATTTTATGTGTATGAGTATTTTGCCTGTATGTATGTATACCACGTGCATGCAGTTCCTCTGGGGGCCAGAGGGGGACATGATCTGGTCTTTGGGACTGGGCTTAACAGATGGTTGTAAGCTGCCTTGTGTGTGCTGGGAATTGAACTTGGGTCCTCTGGAAGAACAGGCGTGCATCACCACCGCTTGGCTAGATTTGTTTATTTTTTTATGTGTATGAGTGTTTTGCCTGCATGTTATATCTGTGCACCACGTGCATGGAGAACTGTGAGGTTGGATTTTCTGAAAGTGGAGTTGCCATGTGTATGCTGGGAATCTAACCTGGATCTTCTGGGAGAGCAGCCAGAAGACTGCTGAGCCATGTTTCCAGCCCTCAAAAACACTTAAGCCATAGCAATCTTTAGAATGTCCCAGTGAGACAGGTTAAGAATTATCTTGGAAAAAAATTAAAATAACAACAGGAAGGAGTTATCTTGGGACCAGATGAAATATCTCAGTAGTTAAGAGTACTTCTTGCCCTTACACCAGCTTGTAACTCCCTGTAACTTAGGCTCCAGGGGCTCTGAACCTTAGTCTGGTCTCCACAGGCACCCACGAACATGTGACACACACATGCACACACACTCACAAAAGAAACCCACGTACAGATCAGATAACAACATGGAGAAAACAATTCCCGAGGATCCCAACCTGCCCTCAAACTATGAGTCAAAAAGTGAAATACCCAAACTGTCAAAGAAAAACCAAGCATGTGCGAAATAATAAATAGACAGGCTTTTGCTCTCTCTGTCCGCCGGGGTCCACAGGAGACACAGGTGTTAATCCGAGAGAACTTCAATGGCTGTGCCTCCTCTCTATCCTGTCAGGGTACTCTTAAGGAAAGTCAGTACATCTAGGGCCCAGACATTCCCAGATGTTGGACACAAGTTTTCAAGGCTTGTCCTGGGATATATGAGAACAAAGGTGAAAACTATGGAAACAGTAGTAAATACATTGATTTACCCCACCACCCCACTTCATTAAAAAATGTCAGACTTATCTGGGACCTGGCCGTGCACAACTTTAAACTCAGTACTTGGGAGGCAGACAGGCATCTCTGTGAGTGCCAGGCCAGCCATAGCTACACAGTGAGACCTTGTCTCAACACATAAATAGTCAGACACCCCTTTAACAACATTACATTAGCTTACTTTATCCTTGCATGAAATGGGCCCTAGAAAAGGAAGAGGGCATTCATACTTAGGGACTAGGATTGAGGCGGGGTAGTGCTGGTTGGTGTTCGTGGGGTGGTGGCCCACGTTTTAATCTCAACACTCGACAGAGTTCACAGCTAGCCTGGTCTACAGGGCAAGTTCCGAGTATCAGTATAGCTGTACAGCCAGGGCTACACAGAGAAACAATTTCAACACCTCTCCCTCCCCCCAAATCATCTGTCCCTTACCTGCCCTACTGACTACCTATCTGCTCTAAGACTTGGGCATCTCTGGGAGGGTCCCCATCTGGGAGGGTCCCCACCCTTTTGCCCCTCCTCGAACCCCATTCCTCGGTCTCCATTCTTCTTTGACAGGCCGCCAGAGTTCTCAGCAGACAGACAGCCCCGTGGAAGAGAGTCAGGGAATGGAAACCACCTCACCTGAGTTCCAAAGTTCAGCAGGCAGACAGCCCCCTCCAAAAGTCAGGGAATCGAAACCAACTCACCCTGAGTTCCGGGAAGTCCAATCTGTAATTCTCTGGTTCTTTCGCTTCCTCCAGCGGTGGCTCCCTGCTCACTGGATTCTGCAGGGCCCTGTGTCCTGTCTACGCAGCCAGCACTCAATTCCAGTAGGATCAGTCTCCCACTGCTCCCAGATCACGGTCTCCTGCCTTGCTGACAGTGCACGCCAGGCCGGAGCAAGCCCCGGTCTCCCGATCCCCCTTTCCCTAGGGTGCAGCCTTTGCGCGAGCTTCCGCCTCCCGGAGAGATTCCACACAGCCCGCTGTTCCCGCTTAAAGTCAAATCTGAGCCAACGCAGCCATGCCCCAGTGGAGTCCTCCCAATCAACCTGTGGGACCGCTGTTCTGTCCAGAGTCCTCCTCCGGAAGCCGCTGCCGGCTTGACAAGTCTTGTGACTCTTGCTGGCCGTTTGCCAGCTTCCTAAACTGCTTTCTGGACAGCTCCCAGTGGGGGCACTTACCCCGGCTCTGGTCCTTTCCCCAAATCCATTAAATAGCAACTCTTTGAGTCTTCCCAGGCCCTCTGCTTGGGGTCTTGAATTTGGAGGTTGAGAAAATAAGGTTACAGGGAGCCCTCCCTGGTCCTCCGCATGCGAGCAAGCCCTGGCACGAAAATGCAGAGAGAGAGAGAGAGAGAGAGAGAGAGAGAGAGAGGAGAACAAACACGTTAAATAAATAAATAAAAATGGGGGTAAACCCTGGAAGTGCTGAGGAGGTTCCTACATCTGCCCTGTATTGGATAATCCTGGGGCAGAGAATAGGGGGACTGGGAGGGAGTTGAAGGGAGTGAGAGGCTACCCAAGCAGGGGTCACTTTCTTTTTCCTCTAAGTTCATCTCCAAACTTTATTCAAGTTGAGTTTCATTAAAGTCAGTTACACCCGGGTTAGCCGCTGTAAGAATTACCTTTCACTGCTGGGTGTGGCAGCACAGGCCTTTAAGCCCGGCACTTGGCCAGGCAGAGCTCTGTGGCCAGGTTGGTCTACAAAGTGAGTTCCAGGACAACCAGGAGTTCCAGGAGTACACAGAGAAACCCTGTCTCAAAAAACAAACAAAACTTACTCAGGCTGTACAGCTGGGAAGGAATAGAAATGAAGTGCATGGGGAGACATTTCACTTAGGGATGACACAGTTGGAAGTTCTCTGGTGGCTTAGTTTATTCATTTTCTCATTTACTTGCCCCTTTCTCATTTGTCGTCTCCCCACACACATTCCCCCACAGGCTCTCATGTAGCCCAGGCTGGCATGGAACTCCCTGTGTAGCCAAGGATGTCCTTGAGCTTTTGGTCCTCCAGCCTCTCCCTTTTGGATGCTGGGATGGCAGAAGCGCATGACCACACTCATTCTATGCAATGCTGCGGATTGGACCCGGGATTTTGTGCCTTCTAGGCAAGTATCCAAGTATCCCATCACTGAGCTGCATCCCCTCTTTATTTATTTATTTTTTTTTTTTTATTTATTTTTTTATTTATTTTTGTGACAAGGTCTCTGTAAGCTACCCAAGCTTTTGGGACCTTTCTCTCAGCCTCTGGGATAACAGACTTGGGATACCAGGACCGCTTTGTTCTCCATCAGTTGTCTTAAGTCTAGAGGTTTGTGGACGTGATGATATACCATGACTTAACTCTCAGGGGAAAGAGTGGCCAAGGCAGAGGGAGGAAGTTGTTAAAGCGGGGTTGACCCCATGGCCTGCGAGATTATGTGCGCCACCACCGCCCTGCTCAGCAGGTGAAGGTGCCTGCCGCTAAGAGGGAGGGCCGGAGTTCACCTGCGAACTCAGCTGGTGGGAGAGAAGAAACCCCTGCAAGGTGCCCTCCAACCAGACGCTCACATGCACACACCCATTGAAAGGAAAGATGTGGTCTCCGTGGAAACTTACTGGGTTCATGGGCGTAGTCAGCCAGACTCCACGGGGAGGTCAGCACGTGAAGTTCTAGGGCAGAAGGCGGCCTCCACTCTGCCCAAGGCCATTGTTCAGAGAAGGGGGTAGTTGTGTAAATTCTCACCAGTCAACCATAACAGTAGCTGAACAGGGAGCTGACCTGATAGGAATGCAAGCATACGCCATGAAAACGCTGGAAGCGGTTTTTTAGCATCCCGCCATCGATGTGCATGATACCTATCCTCACCAGCACCTTGTCTTCTTGCTTTTTTTTTTTTTTTTTTTTTTGCTATTTTAATAGGTGTATTGGATATCTCAAAGTCATTTTAAGTGGCATTTCCTTGGTGCCTAATGATGCCCATCTTTCATGGGCCTTTTGCCATAAGTATTGCCTCTTTGGCGAATGTCAGTATCTTCTTGCCCGTTTTCAACTGTTATCTTTTTTTTTTTTTTTTTTT